ACAATGTCATGAATCATTCAACCAATTTTACATTCCTCAAATTCATTGTCTCATGCGTTTTTCTTTGTTCATCCTTTCCTTTTATGGCAAAAAAAGTCAATTCCTATGCTAAATTTCTTATCCGAGAACCAATTTTAATTGCAATGTTTAATGTTGCAAATAGAGTCCTTTGTCGTAATCGGATTTTGACAGTTTTTCTTTATCCAAAGGAAAATCTGATGTAATGTTTGTTATAAACCACTCCCACCAAATATGCTCTTTGTGTTAATTAAAACTGTATATATACTCAAAACTATAACTAGATGATTATCATTTTTTTTCAAATACTCAACCAAAGACTTCACTGTACTTTGTATTCCCTACTCTCTTCGATATGTTTACTACTATCCTATGCGAACTAATAACTTCCTCCTGAACCAACGAAGAATACCTTCTCAGAATATTCGTCCGTGCCTAAGAACAAACCCTTCCAAATCAAACCCAGCAAACCAGAAACTCTTATTTCAAATTTTCCTACAACATATACTAGAGAAGGTGCAGTATCTGATTGCTATAATAATACAGTAACTTCCAGTTTTCCCTTTTTCTTCTTTAAATTTACAATTTTGTCCTGAAACTCTAGTTTTTCTGATAACCTGTTGAAAGGAATACTTTTATCATAGCCTTACCACTTCTTCTGTAATATTTCTGTAATAAAAGGGAAATAATTGTGAGAGATGATAAATAAACATGAATCAAGATCTAAGGAAGTACTTGATAGACAATATTTCATAAATTTTAGAAAAATAAATGTTATTTGCATAATTCAGTTTTTCCAACGTTAAAATATTCGTTCTTTTTTGAAAGTATGACAAATCTTTAATATCGTTGTCTGCATTTAATAGATAAACAAGCTTCTCTTTTTTGATTTCCAATATTAACTTATACGTCAGTTTTGTATCGACTTGGAAAACGATCAATTACAATAACAACTTCATTGCAAAGTATTTTGTTTGGTAGAGGGCGATATCGAGAATTTCATTTTTCTTCAATGAGATGGGAGAGTCATGATCTTCTGGATGTTGCTCGCATCAGAGCTGAGATTTCCGAAGCTGATGATAAATGATACTTGTCTAAAGATCCAAATAATGATGAATTCAAGAATATTTCTGTCTCCAGAAAAATGAACTGACCAAGATCGACAAGAAGGCATTGCTACGAAGCATTAGATACCCTTCTTCTTGGTTACACGGAATTTTCGTTTCGATTATGCAAACCTATTTCATTTTGACTTTTCATTTTCACATCAGAATTTTATGGAAATTCAATTTATGCTATTACATTATCATGATGTGTTAATTTAACTCAAATTAGTTTAGAAAATCAAATTTAAAAAAATAAAATTACAGTGAAATCAATTACAGGGTATTGAACAAATCTACAAAAAGTAGAAGCCTATCGATTACTTATATAATAAAATCATTATCTGTAAATCATTATCTTTGTTCCCAAGGTCTCTAGATAAAAGCTAACTTTGAAATTCTGAATGATTACTTAAAAGTTGAAATTTCGCTAGTTCATGGAATTTTTTAGATACAGAGAAGCGCAATACTGTAAAAGTTGACGTTGACAGCAATCAATGTTTAGACAAGAATAGTGCGCGTGCGCATGGTAATGGAATGAAAAGAAGAATTGTAAAAATTCGTGTGCGAAATATGCTGACGTGAGAAATGCATAAAGGTTTTTCAGTTAGAAATGGAGTAATTGAAATCGGAATTCAAAGAAAAGTGGCTTTCTCGTTCCTGATTAATGACTAAATTAATTAACAGCAATTCTCATCATTCAATATTATATTACATCAACCAGTATTATATACATTTCGGATAATTGGATGACGCATAGAGCGGAAAATTACGAGCTTGCAGGGCACCATTACCGGAACTACCAAAACTAGCATAACCGACCGGTGGGTTGAACAAAGCTCCGGCTGCTGCAGATGCCTGAAATGATTGGATTCTTTAAATTTCTAGATCTTTGAAATATTAAACAATATTTTAAATAATTAATATTAAACAATATTTATTTATCCAAAAGTCGCAATCATAAACATGAAGATGAATAAGAAAGTAATCGTAATTGAAAATAAATGAGCAAGAAGTACGATAGGATACTGTGTTTTATGTAGCACGTTGCGTCCTATCATACTTCTGTATTTTATCGTTCACCATTGAAGACTGATCGATAGGCTAATGATGTGGTTATTATCATTATCTTCCTTTTAAATATCGTTAGAATTACTATTTAAATGTACCTGAAATTGAGGTGTCATAAGTGTGCGGTAATTTGCAGTAGCCCATGGCGCATGGATGAACTCTGAAGAATGTAACCGTGATTGTTGGAACAGATCCGATGAAGTTGTGTTTGTTTGTGGTTGTAGAGCTTGTGCTATTCCTAAAACTTAATTTGCAACATTTTATTTCTTTTTTTTTTGTTTTAAATTTAGCGGAATACCAGAAACGAGATGTTCACAGGATTGTTTTGTAAATTTTCTTGAAAAGAACATAGCATTGAATTTTAATGGTAATTTCCAGTGATGGTGATACTGTTTGATTTATGTGACACAATTAAATGATAAGAGATTTCTCATTTATTTGAAAGACTTCTCATCTGTCTTACAAAACTGTGTTTCTTTGAACATTTTAGATGATTGGGACAATGATTTTAATTATTAGATTTGCAAGAATATGAATTGTTGAAATTATCGAAAAAAAACATGAATTATTAAAAAATTGAAACACGAATTATCGAATATAAATTATTGAAATGTCAATTTTCTTTTCAAACCTTGAAAATCGAATTTGTAAGCATATCGTTTTCCATGTACTTTACACATGATATTTTTGTCGTAATAGTATCGCAACGCCCGGCTCATTTTATCATAATTCATATTCGGTTTACTTTTTCGTTCACCCCAGCGGCGAGCTACGTCGTCTGGATCAACCAGTTTGAATTCACCATTTGTACCCTCCCAAGTGATCGATTCCGCATAACGGCTATCTGATAACAGTTCCAAAAGAAACTGCCAAAGTTGAATTTGTCCACTACCTAGTAATTTTTATTTTTATACTTAAACAAAATGCTTAAATTGAGATTGGTTGTAATTCTGTCATCAACTTGTCATTATATCAATACTCTTGGACTACGAAACTCCTGTTTTGAAAGTATTCGAATGGACGAAATAAAAATTTGTTGCATACTTTCGAAATAAAAAGTCGTTGTCATGAAAATTAACCTGCACTTGCCAGTCGACTACTTGTTGGTCCCAAAATTTGATACGGATCTGGAAATATTTCAAGTGCACATATGTGTTTTTTACATAATTGATTGAGCAGATTGAGCAGTCACCGCAATAAAGCTCAGACTGATATTGGTATAACAGGATTTTCTGGTATCTCTTTTACTAGAGGTGCAAAACTTCAGGTCAAGAGAGTTGACAACCCTGATGGTATCAAGTTCAAATCTATCATCTCAGCCACATTACTTCTTCCTAAATTACTTGCTTTGGCCACATTACTTGGTAAATAAGCCTGTGAAACAGGAATATCCTGCCAATATTTGTCTTGTTTATAGCCTGCTGAGAATGATCCCTGACAATTTCGAGAAATGGCAAGAAATTAATTTGTTAAAATGCTCCGCTGTTGATCATTTCTTCATCATTTTATCGTGACATTTGCACCGCCCATTTTGATTGAATTTCTTTTGATTGATTCATTCTTTGTATAATTCATTCAAATGAAGTTGTGATTTTCATTTTGAATCTGTGAAATAAGTTTTAGCGTTAAAGAAGTGGAAAAGGAAGAGGCAAGAAGCAGAAAGCCTCTGATTAGGCTTATTGAATTTAAGGCTGAGAAGGCTCCTGAATGAATACACTATGAAAACATTAGAGTTAGCAATGAGTTTGATGATGATGATGATGATAGAATTAAAGGGAAAGAGGGAAGAAAGAGGAGAGGACGGGGAGCAGTTGACCCTTTCTTTACTCTCACAAAGTTAAGCTAAGACAGTCAAAGCAGAAACTCATTTTGCTCTTTGAGGAATTTAGTCTTAATTAGCTTAGTAATACACTAGCAAACTATAGCAAGAAAGTTGAGCTTACGGTAGTTGAGAAGTAGGCAATTAGTATTACCACGATAAACCAACCAGTCTTGATTTTACTTCAACCTCATGAACTTGCAAACAGAAGAAGAGAATTCAAAATTTCTTTACCTTTTATTCGCGACCAATTTATTTATACTTATTCGCCTACTGACATGATATGTTATTTTTATCATGTCATAGAAGAGCAGTACTGGAAAAAGTGCTCTTCTTCAAACAATCGATCAATCCTCAATGTTATAAGGTGATCAGAAGCAGTTGAAATTTTTTTGCTGTTATATACGCTCAGAAAAACATCCGATAATTACAGATAAAGAGTAGATATATTGATGTTAACTCTTTGCAAATTGAACAACTCCATTAAATTTTAATGAGTCCTTTCCAAACCTCAAAAACGCAAAAAATATTTTGTTATTTAGACATTTAGATAATCACAATTATTTAATTTTGACAACGAAAAATTGTAAAAATTTTCCCTGTCTATTGTTCTTTCAATCATATCTTGAAGGGAAATAATTAGTGTTCAATGTGGTGAGGTTGAGGCTTAGGGTTACATGATGGACGTTTTAGTTAAATTGTCGTACGGGTAATGCCGTACTCATTATGTTTTTGTTTGACTGCTGCAGCTGCCATTCTTTGATTTCACTTATTTATCCACCTTTCCTTATCTATTCAATTCCATGCTTCTCATTTAAAAGGAGAGAGTAAAATGCTTTCCTAAAGATAAAAGCCAATTTTATTGACCCATGATGACCTTTCTGCCCTCTTTCCCAAATAGCTGATAGTGTTTGAGCAAAAATTTATAAATCTGACCGTGTCACATGCTTACTGCAACGTATTGCAAGGCTCTAATTCATTCTGCTGAGACAGAATTGCAGTTGTGGTCTGGAACAAGGACACGAGTTAAATTGTGAGGCTTAAACAGCTCTACTCATTCTAAGTCTCCTATTTACAGTGAGCAAAAGTCCAAAGCATTGTACAAAAATGTAAATTAGTGCTCTGAAAATCACTCCTGCTTAATGCAGAATATTCAGTTGTTAAATTCGATTGACATACAACAATTGACATATTGCATAAAGAGCAACATCATGTTTCTCCTTTCCAATTGTTCGTTCACACACAAATATTATGAGAAAGCAGCATTTGCGTGGGAGGTCATAGGTCAAGCAGCTTTAAAACGCTGCTTGATTTTTGTTAATTTGTATAAATAAATAGTCAAAGTTAATTAAACTCAGCTATAAAAACTTATTACTCAGTTCACAAAACCTTTTGCTTCTTTTTTAATGGTTGAATGACGAAGACATTAAGTGAAATAGCAACTTATCATCCCATTGCAACTACAGCATATTGATTACAGTAATTTGCATAATAAGCTGATGAGCCGGTTATCTCATTACGCATTCTTTTTGGAGGTATGAAAGAGTGTTTTCAAGTAAAGGAATAGAGAGAGGAATGAGTGGGTGGGATAGAGGTAAGCGATATTGGCCCCCGTTGATAGTATCAAGACACAATCTTGGGCTTGAATCCGATCGGCTGCCTTTGTTGGACTCCGGATAATAGCCCTCTCATTTTAGCGCACATCTAGGCTACACAACGACAATAAGCTTTCGGAGCTTGCATATTTGCCAATGTGCCAATATTTACCGCAAAATAATAGCTCCCTTTAAGAAATCACCATTATCGGTTTCCCTTTTCTTGCTGGGAGCTATAACAATTACTGATATAATAAAGAATGAGTAATTGAGTATACGAACTAAACTATATTTGAATAGAAAAACATCTTGCCATCGCTTTCTTCTTTAAGCAAAACGACAAATCCATTTCAAATCGCTGGTAGTTCAAAACTGTTAAGTAAGCTTATTTTTTTCAAATTTAAGACATTTCTAAATGCACCAAATGATTTTGAAAATTCTAGGTAATTATGGATAACTATGGCATCAGTTTCTTAATTTCCAGACCCGAAAATTGCGGAAATTTTTAAATTTAACACATAAGAATTGAAAGTATAAAATCGGGATGAAAATACATGCTTTTCGATGCTCCTGAAATGACCTTTGACTTTCTATTCGTTGATTGGTTATAAACTGATAGTCAACGGTTGATTAAATGAAATCAATAGAGACATCAGATATAAAATAAAAGAAATTGAAAAATGGTGAGTAGAATGGCCGGCATAGAATGACTGGCAGAAAATAGTTTTAAGTTAATGGATTATAATCTCGTTATAAAAATTCAGTGAGATGAAATTCCATTCAAACATAAGATACACAAACCAGGTTGTCCGAATGCCGTCGTATGACATGCTGGTAATCGCAGTGATGAACAACTGAAGCAGGATGAGTTTAACGTCGTCGACTAAAATTTCACAAACCTCAACAATGAAATTATATTCCACATAATTAAATTGTAAATACGCTTTTCTTTTGAATGAATACATTTTTCAGACGATTTATTTAGCTATTCTAAGAAGTTAAAAGCTAAAAAATCGCACCAGGTATTTTGAAACTATCTGATGATTAATCTCAAAGGTCAGAAATAAAAGCATACCTTTACTTCTTCCTTGATAGTTGTTGCCGTTGTTGTTGAGTGACCCGGTGTTGTAGCATGAAATACATTAGCATTCAAATTCATCCCTGCAGGTAAAGGAAAAATGAAGTAACAAACAACATTTTCAAAAACTTAAGCCACTCAATATGAAAATATATAAATGAGTAGAAAGATAATTAGTAATTAAATCGAATTTATTTTTAGTAGTTGTTTCGGAATATAAAACAGATAATCAATATATAATATTTCAAAAAGATTTAATGAAATCCGAATCATTAATCTGATATGTTAAAGGTACTTAAGTCAATTGACTATAACGTTCATATATTTAGTTACTTACTTGTTTTCTAGCATTAAAAGTAAAGTCAGAGAAAAAATAGCTAAAAAATGCACATGAATAAGTCTACTCTATTGAAACGTGTTAAATTTGTTAAACAACATTCAACAGACTAAAGACAAGTTGGTAAAATAAAATTTCGATAAATATTCATTTGCTCTTTTTACAAATTTAGCTTGCAGTAATATTTGCATCTAAGGGTGAAAATCAGTTTATTACTTTGCCCAAGAACTGGCTTCCAATTCTAACTTTTCTTCAACTTCTTTTGACTCTAATGTTCTGCAGTGGAAATGCAATAAATTTAGAAAAGAGGCGATTTGAAAAACATGTCTGTCAAACTTCAAAACTTTCCAACACTACCCCAACTTTTTTTGGTTTTGTAGGTTTATAAACGTAACTTTTTATAAAATGAAATAGCTTATCATTCTGTTACTGTTTACATTTTCAAATAATATGGTATTAAAAATATTTCACCAAGAAATTTGAAATTTGCGTATATGAATTTATTTAGCCCAGAAATTCAGCGGTAAATATTAACCTTTTTCTAGTGATCTTCAGTTATACCGAAGCCTCATGTACCCTTTTTTAGCACAGTTACTCTTTCCATTACATCAACCAGAGAGATTTCTTACTGCTTAAGTACTATCAAAAAAAATGATAAACTTTGCGAGGTTAAAGAAAGAAATTGAGACGATCAAAAATCTTTTTCATCTAAGCCTATGGAAAAAGTTAACTGAAAATCAATGAAAATTGCTGTTGGAATCGTTTATTAAGCTGAAAATTTTTTAAGGGTCACTGTCACTTATTTTCAGAATTCACCAGCTGTTTTGAGCGCACACTAAATCAAGAATACATCATAGTTTGCTTAATGATTAAATGGCAGACAAATTTAACTTAAATAAATTTTTGAATGCTATATGAAGATAACTTCGTTTTTTAATCCTCAGATCAAAAAAATAAAAATACTTAAACAGACTGAACAATTGGAATATTTTAATTTACTTATATTATGAAAGTATTAGAGAGATTAAAAAGGATTTTCAGGAAGGCATAAGCAAGTTCAATTGAAATCTATGTTAATAATGCGACTCATTTCAAAGGATTTATTTCGAAATTATTAATTTCTATAAAAAGCCTTTGAGAGAAGAATGCTTAATACAACAAATCGGTTTCGAAAAGCTTCCTTTGAGATGATGCGCAAAAAGAATCAGTCTCAAGTGTACTTCACACTATTTAACAGTCTTTTAGAGGTTACGAAAAGAACGCCATGCTGATAAGGTATCGCATTACTTATCATACAATAGATCGTCACATCACCATCAATTTCCCAATCCTTTTGTATTGTAAAATAAACAGCTCCAGAATTAATTTTGTTTTCAGGTAACATAAAACTTATTATGACAATGGTACATGTTCATGTGAAGGAGAAAATGAACTTTCAAAAAAATTTAAAGATGTATACTGTAGATGTCATCGGTGCATATTAGCAAATATGGAAGGTGCGAAACGAGTCAAAACTGATGAATCAAATTAAAATTGAAGAAAAAATAAATAAGCACTTAAACAAAGTGAAAATGTCAATCAATGAAGGAAGAGGAAAAATTACCGGTTTGATGAACGATTTGTTGTTTTTGCATTTGTATTGAATTATTACTTGTATCGTAAAAAATGTTCCGCTGAGGAATGGGAACCATATTTGCTGTACTGTTAACGTTTGCATTGGCTGCTGATAACTGAAAACAGAATTGACTTATTTCATTCTAAAGACTACCTTATAACGACATATAATTACTAAGTTATAAATGAGCTTTTTGCTTCTTTTTAGTTCATCGAAATCGTTGATTACAAAAGTTTTTCGATTACCAATTCAGTTCACTAGGCCTATTTTCAGAAAACGTAAATAGCATTAAATTTTGCTACTTTTGTAAGTGTAGAAAATACCATTTAATTACCAGAAAATAATAAAAAGATTTGCTGATCCAAAAGCAAAACTGACAACGATCATCAACAGCATTTGCAACTTGAACTTTCTTGAGTCAATTATCACGTTTAAACTTTATTATCTACACAATACCATGCAATTAGATTTTTGTGGGACCGGAACTACATAATGCTAATCCTAATAAGCCCAGTGGCATGTATCGTTTAGCAACTAGGATGCTTTCTAACTCATAAAATTGCTCACATCCTAACGGACATAATGATTTCATTAATTTCAGTTCATAGAAATCAAGTTGAGCAAGTAAAATTACGGTGAAGACTGAAAATGCACAACCATTTAGCAATGGATAGTTGAAGTTAAATACTATGCAAATAATTTTTTTATTAATATAGGTTTTTGGATATAAAATATGCAAACTTTGGAAGGCATTGCTCATAATTTTCAAAACAGTATGTAAATAACAAAAGAATTAATGTTGGCAAGAATCCTTCGATCAGCTAACTCAGTTTTTCTAGAATATTCCAGATGTAAAGCTGGGAGAGGACAGCAAAAAGAGAAGTAGAAGTAAAAGGTAGTGAAGAATGTCAAATTGTCAATTTAAGTTAGCATAAATATTCGGAGAAATTGAAAGGGAAGAATGAAAGGTTTGTTCAAAATTGCATGCAACAAAAATTATCATCTAAAAAGTAAGAAATAAAGGCTGAAATATATGAAAAATGAGAAAGATATTGTAAGAGGGGATGAAATTTCCGAATATTTTCTTCAATACCTGAAAGGCGCCGAAATTGAAATTGGTTAGGGCGATGTTTGGCTGCGGATCTTTGCTTACTGATGAACTTGTACTAGCAGCCGGTCCAGCTACAGCCGATGTTGCAGCTTGTAGTGTTGGCGGTGGTAGTGCAGAATTAGGATTAGTTGGTTGCTGTCGAACATCCGATTTTGAATCCATTTGCAGTCAGTTTCCTTCCCGTACTGCGGCGACAACGTCCGGCATCTCCTTCCCCTCTGATTTCCTTCTTTTTCTTGGCTCGGAAGCCTTGGAAATTGTTATGATCGACCAACCCATCTCCAAGAAGAACACACCATAGTCACGGTACATTACGGAAGTAGGCGGAGTGGAAAGCACATTGAACTATCGACATCGTTAGCCTAGCAATAGATATGTCACATCTCAACCAATCATTTCTGGAGGTTTGGCAAAGAGGGCGGATCAGCAGCAAACCGAACGGTAATTGGGCTTTTCTCTTTCCTTTCGTTTCAGATGACATCGGAAGTATTGAAGTTGCCTAAGTCCAACGGCTGACCCTTAACTCTCTCAAGGCCCTCGACACCCTGCAATGGTTCTGTTATCGATGTTGTTGTGCTGTTTGAGGATAAAATACTTTGAATTGCATTCACAGACAATTATTTTTCTGTATTGATATCGAATGTTAGGAGAAGGAAAAGCAAATCCAAAATTTTGAGTCTTGATTTAACCATAGATATATTAGTGTTCAAATGCATTGCAATCGTCTGTTACATCTTTATGTTTAATTACTTCAAATATTTATTTTCCAACGATTTATTCTGAAATGCTTTTCTCTTCCTTTCCACCGCTCAATTACTTTATCAGATTATACAATTGGACCAATGATTATTGCTATAATAATAAGATTTTATAACAATCAACATGCCAAAAATATCAAATGTACAAAGTGGTTGTGGTACACTAATTGTAGTAAACAGAATTAAATAAAATTAAATTTGAATTTAATTTAATATCAGTCAATTGCTATCGACATTACAGGAAAAATTTTTCGACTTATCCGAATTATTTGTTTGCATAACTTAAACCATCCGTTTGATTCAAGGTAACCTGGAAGCATTACTTTTAATGCTATACGAAGCGAGCAAACATCAACTTTAAAAGTTTAAAAGTTGATGTTTACTCACTTCTAAACACTCATTCAACTATTTTTTCTTGGTTCATAAATTAATAAATGAACAACCAATATCCACTGATTGATCTAATAATTAATCAAAATAGTTAAAATGAGTAAATTATCTTTCTTGTTTAATTCAAATACTTTAAGATTGTATTAAAAATTAAAATTTTTCAAATGGCCAAACGAATTTTCGCAAACTATTTGAACTTGCTAGAAGACAAACAATTCGAACGATTTGTGAAGGTTAAGAAATCTAGCATTATTTGTAGGCAAATGAAAGTCTAACTTTCTTTCAGCATTTTTCCAAATTATTCTTTCAACAACATAGAAATCTTCATGACATTCGACAATGTTTTTCCAGTTTTTATCAGTTCTTATTAATTCACTCACTTCCTGATTTCATTTTTTCGTGCGTTCATCAATACTAACGATCACTATGTGACAAAATATCATTGATAAGGCTGTTAAATTTAACTTTCAAGAAGTTAAAAATCAAAAAATATTCGAATGGAAAAATTTCTGACCAAATAAATGAAAATACACGAAAAGATCATTCGAATAAATTCTACTAATTACAGCGGAATAGAAATTAAATGAATTTTTCTGTATATGCCCCAACAGATTACTTAACACTTCACTTCGTCTGTTCATCGTCACTCCATGCCACACAATATTACCTAAAACAAATTGCTAATGAGTACAGCGGCGGTGACAGCAATAACAATAACACAATTTAACAACAAAAATTAATAATAAATTTGAAAATAACGAAATTAAACAGACCAGAAAAATCTGAATTTATTAAAATTGATTCTTTCGAAATTGAAATATGACGGTGATAAGAATGATGTCGATGATGATAGCAGCAGGAAAATAATTGCGAAGAAAAAAATTCAAATAATAGATCTTTTTTACTACGCATAGGTTCACAGATTAAGTTATGGTTGTGTACACTACATGGATGATAGAGTGCACCACGTGCTTATCACTTTAAAAACGATAAGGAATATAAGAATAATCAGAATATGAGACAGGCAATGAAATACGGTATTACAGTGTCAAATTTTTATTTAATTTATGACGCAAATAACACTGCCACAAAAATGAATGTTTCGGTTGAGTTGCTTCATTGTTACCAGAGATATGAATGGTATGAAGGGAAGTGACATCCATTAAATGTCGGATAGTTGAAATAGAAACACTTGGAAAAATAAGATAGCAGTTTCATTACAAACAATAAACGGAAAAAAAGTACATAAACAGAAAATGTTCCTAATGTGTTAGCCGGCCAGAATGTGGTACCGAAATATTGTGATACCGCAAATCGGAAGAAGACTCACAGCAGGTAGCCATATTTTACTTCTTTTTTCCTTCTTCATCAAACTTTTCTAGTAAACAAAAATTGGTACCGACAACATGATCCATGCCGCGATTCTATTTTTGTCAACAAATAAAACTTGTGGATCAAGAATTCCATGAAATATGCAATGCGAACAATTGTCCCCTATGATTTGTTTGAAATATCGAATAATGAGGACATGCAACTTGCACTTCGATTATGCAAATACGTGTCAATCTAAACATAACAGCAAATGCATCTGCAATATCAGGTTCGCTTTAAAAACCTGTAACAATGTGACACGTGTTGATTTACAATTTAAAGCTATTCTATATGTCCAAATTCATTGGCAACAATAATTGCTGTTCTTAAAGCTGTAATATTTAGTTGTATCACAGACGCAATTTTTTTTGGTATTTTGAATGCAAAAAATATTGTTAGGCCATTCGTTAAAAGTTTGTTAGTTTGCTGAAGTGGTTGAAACAACTTAATTCATGTTTGCATATGTTCAAAGGTAACTGGAATTACCTGAGGATGGTATGAATTACACGTCTAAACCTTAAAATAATTCATACAAGTCACTGCCAAACAATAATTTCTTTCAGATCACAGTTTTTGTTGTAATTATTGAATATCGTTGACGCAATTAGACGAGTGTCTGTTTGTTTGTATGCGTGTGTGTGTAACTCTATGACAGACTGGATACTTATTATTGGTCATTTGTGTAAGTAGAGTGGTCCACGAGTGACCTCATTTTCTTACACACTCAGCGAACATAAACTGAGAGTCCCACAACTACTGTTTACTTCATTCGCGGTATGGTTCTCAGTTTCGAATTCTCTAGCTTTCCACCTTTTCGTCATGACTGACCCATTCATACTCTCTTTTGATCTTTAAATTGGTAATGCCTAACCTTTCATTAGCGATCAGACGGTGAACATTTGCAAGCAATCCAATTAAAATACATTTCTCCTTCTAGCAAAAGAATTCATAAAGATGAAAGAAATTCAAATACTGTGAATGAAATTTATCTGCCAATTGCAAATGAATGCAACTTTTTATTTCTCGAGATCTGAATTACTTGAAATGCACGATTAATTTTCCATTAGGGCTGTGAAACAAATGAGACACAAGTTGCTCAATCACAACCTTTCTTTCCTGTTAAAAAATTTCAATATTTTGATTTTTGGTGACAGTCATCCAAGAGATTAGGATTAATTCCTTAGAACTGAAGTCCGTTAAATAGAGGATGATAAGCGAATACAACCGTAAACGAAGTGGGCGTAATTTGAGAAAGAAGAATGTTTGATTATATTTTGGAAGTATCATTTCGAAGATTTTGAGATCCGATCGCAATTGAAAGTCTTAACAAGAAGCATTGTCTTAGTAATGCTTTCCAGTTGGCAGTGTTTCCGGCTAGTCTTATGTCCTAGTCCTTTTAATAATTAATGATCTCATATCACTCACAAGAATTGATTGCACATTTTGCAAATCATTTCGAAACGACAGTTAACTGATTGACTAACTGCCCACTGTTTTTCATTTCAAATTCTCTAAATCTCCACTTCTCAATAACTATTTCAGCAACCACTTGAGGCACTGGACCTATTGTTTCATCATCTCTAAAAGTGCCTTGTTAATGAATGGAATGGGACAACCGATTGCGGTATTTTGCTTTTAACTAGCTTTTAAATGGGTAATTTACATGGTAGAGTGGATACTGTTATCATGAATCTTTCAGCTGTTCTTTCCGCTTCTTCTTTCCTTTCAGGCAAAGATCGGGACTGAATGAATTATGGGCTGTACCACAGATTTGAATGGCTTCAGACCATAAGCATTAGCACCATTAAACAACGTATTATTGCGGATACTTAAAAAATTTAAGGGAAACAAAGGTTGAAATGGCAGCATATTCTCAAATATCTTCTATGATTTTACTATTTTTGAAGAAAGAAATTGAATCGAACAGAACAGAAGCACACTATCCTTTATATCCTTTCTATCAAATCTGACAATAATGATTTTGGCAGAAATTAAAAATAGCTTCCTGTAATATTTCCGTCATCTTGATCCTCTCATGTCTCTCTCTCTTTCTCTCTCTCTCTTAATTCTCTCTCACCTTTTATCATTCTAAGTTGTTATACTTTTTCTTATCAATTTCATAATCTTCAACTGTTAGAATAATTCTGAGGACTTCCTTCATGAGATATCGTTGGAATAATTCACTTGGAAATTTTATGCAAATAATGCTTTGATCATAAAATATTATTTAAGTATAGTAAATAGGTATTTAATATTTTATAAAATTCTTTTAATGAGCGCACGGTTACCTCAAATAGGAAAAGTCAAAGCTGCTTTTATTGTGGCTGTTATAGCCTGCGCATTTGCATGTTATTATTTTATTAGAGTCAGTTTATCGTTAAGCTTGAAATCAAGGTTTCCAGTTTAAACTTTTCTCTACCAGAAATCACTTTAATTTTTCCATATATAGTAAGGACTACAAGGTTTACGAACAATAAATTTTGTTAGTTTAAAAATAAACTTTAATTAAACCTTCAAGTTTATCAAACATAGATAAAAATAGTTCCTACCTGCTTTGTACTGTTTTGTACTTCGCCGTTGCCCTCGCGGATCACCAATGGTCATCGATCCACCGAATAGGAACCACTGATCACTAAAAAAAACGCAAAATGCTAAAAAACGCTAAATGCTAAAAAACGCAAAATGCTAAAAAACGCAAAATTTCGGGTGATTGCCTTTCTCGAAAATGCTGCAAAACTAATATAAGTCGTGTGAGGTTTATGAAGGCTGAAATTTTCGTACCCAAATTTACTACATATTACTGTTCAGTTACAGTAGCAACTACCTTCTTACATCACATTTCCACGTAGTTCGAGTACATGATTTAAATCAAGTATTTGTATACAAATGGATGGGTTACTGAAATGCATCATTATTTTTGCTGTTATGTGGAATACAAAGTCATCGTTAGTTTTATAATTTGCATTAAAAAGAAAAATTACAGAGCAGCCGGAAATTAGAGACACAAGATGTTCCGGGACAGCAGCAAAGTCAGGTAGGGCATAAAAAGTCTGTAAGGTAAAGAGAAATTCTTGGATGAAGAATTAAGGTCGAATAATAGTAGAGCTAAAAATCTCCTATCGTTCAATACAATTCGTATTAGTTTGAAGTGCCTTTCATCCATCATTAACTTCCTTGAGAAGGTGAACTGCCCAGACATATATTTGATCGCCAAATTCTAACTTTTGATATAATCACAGCTGCACTTGCCCAGCGAGTAGTCAAAAAACCGAAACTTGAATTACCGGAAGTCGTACAGCTAGCTGCAATATTTGAGTCTTAATTATTGCAGTTGATTCAAAACTCAGAATCATTAACTACAACGATGTCACAATAATCAGATTCATCTCAGGTTGATGAGTCAAGAGCAACTATTCAAGAGGAAGGCGAAAACGAGTTTAAGGGCGAAATACGTTTGGCTGTGGTACCAACTGTTAATTTATTCAAGTTTGTGGTGACAAAATGGAGCTAGAAATCCCACTACACCAACTTTCTCGGAGAAAGAAGATAAGGAAGGGGGGAGGCAGAAATACAGTGTTGAAGTTTTGCTTAGTTAAGCAATTAAACAAAAGTATTACAAATGATGCTTGATCATGAATAAATTTTAAAACTAACTGTTTAATTAATAGAGCAAGTCATATATGGGGAGAAATTGATCTTTGATAAATTCAGCGTTAAGGAACAGTCTTAGCTTCATAGAAGCGACGGATAAATGAAATAATTCAATAATTCTAAAAGTGAAAACGGAAAAAATTCAATCTTTTAGCCGGTAAAAAAGAAGTCGAAGAAAAAAAAGGAAGAAAAAGAGAGCTTCGAAACTTTCTGTTAAAGAGGTTGATAGTTTACTCAGTTATTGTTTGAAAATTGGTTGTGCTTATAATGAAATATAGTAGTTGTTACATTTTGACCTTTATAATATAGTCTATCATCGGCTGAGTTATTTCATCGCTTTTCAAAGGATAAGTTAGACAAGAAGATGACCTATCTTATTTATTTCTTATCTCTTATGCTGTCCACCACATCATCTGTTTGAAGAATCACGGGTCGATCATATTGATTTTGTGGTTCACTTTCAATTTCCTGCATTTTTCATCTACGGTCACGGTGACTTTGTGCTACCAATGCCACTGGAAATCTTGTCACAGACTTTAAAGTCGTCAACAACAGATTTTTTCATCTTTTTGCTAGGTTTCTTAGTCTTCAGGCTCATCTTTTTCAATTTCGAAGTCATTGATAATATTTAAGTGAATTAAATGAATTTGAAAAGCCAATTAATTAAAATTAAATTTAACAAATTTGTTAGTAAGTTGAAGGAACGTCTGTTATCCACAACTTTAAAACTCGAAATTTTTTAAAAAAGTATCACCTGCGAGAAATTTTCTGTTTCCATACTCTTGTGGAACAATTGCTTCAGTATTTAGATACATTCAATTGTTGAGGAATCTTTTGAAATTGAGATTTTAGAAAATTTCTTTTTTCCTTGGAGAATATTTGCATTTAAAAGCGGTATCGACAATTTGAGATGAATAATGAATCATCATCTGGGAAATTGACCACTGAAAGTACTTCGAATGGCGAACAAATGACTGTGAAAAATGAAACCGCATCAGCTGAAATCAAAAAGTTAGAAGCGTCTGCGGTAACAACATCAACAAGAGATAGCGATAGAGAAAAAGTATATTTTTGGTTATCCGATTTTTAAGTCATCCGATTTAAATTATTTAGAGGTAATCAATTCAAACTTTCTAGGTCATACAGAATTTAATTACTATTCAGGTTGAGAGATTATCCGCATAAATCGGTGTCTCAACTAATTTACTTTAATTTTTTCAGCAAGCTGAGCCAGAAGAAGATGCTAGAACCGGAGTATTGCTCATTCCTTCGTTCGTTTTAAAATTTTCTGAAAAATCATTCAACTTCTAAAATTCGTCCTATTTTGAATGCCATTCATAGCATAGTATCAGTTTAAGAATTCCTCGTTAGACACAGCAAACTTAGAAATTATTAGACCTTCTCTTTAATTTCAGGGTACCATCGGCAGGACACGATGACGACAAAAAAACAATCAAAAAAGAAGAAAAACAATAAAAAGCTTTTTACCAGTAATTGATTTAGAAAAATTCGTAGAGAGAAAAAAATATTTAAATTCGTATATGAAATGAATCTTGTCGACCATTGAGCATTAATTCGTCATTCCAAAAAATATTCCGTTGAAAGTACCGAAAAGCAGTATGGGAAATAATCCAGAAGTTTCTAGACTGTTTCAAATCCCAGAAAGATTTGAATTACTCAATATTACTAAGGATTTACATTGGACCCTGTTTTATTTCTCATTTTCATCTCACCTTGTCACTACAATATAGATGCGACAAGGTACCTTTGTGTAAAATTTGATCCTGGATTATGAGTGTATTTTACCCTTTAATCAACGGCATTCGAACATATCTACGGTTGAAATCACATTTTCTTAAACCACTAATGCAACCATTGGAATATTTCAATTTTTAGAGATGAAATTTAAATTGAAGAAATAAAAAGTCGAAATGTGAAGAGTTGCAAAAAAAGAACAGAAATCTCATTTCATCCGAAAATTGCAATTTATCTGCAATCAACCTTGTAATTTACATCTGTTCCGTACTGAATTCCTGATAAAATTGATTTAACTTTATCAATGATTAACTAAACATGCGTTTTAAAATGAACAGTGCAATTTGCTCGAATGGTAAGATGTTTTTTGTTGTACTCAAAGAATTGCCACTTTGAGGGTCCAATTTTTACACAATACATTGGCCGAGAAAAAGTACCATGAAATTAAATATGCAATAAAGCGAATGAAATTTATTGATTACACCATACGCAAGAAATGAAGGCTTAGTGGAAAATTCATTTGTGGTTTATACAGTTTAGAAATCTCGAAAAACATTAGTCATTCATTCCTTGACCTTTATTCCCATGACAAGTGGCTTTACTCACTGCTACATAATAATTCAAGTTTGATCGATCTGACACTGGTAAATAAGATTGAAACGTTGTAATGCAAAGTATTAGAATGACCTTTATGAGTATGTATTCTTTTAGGAAGAATTATAACAATTAGGCGACATTTCTTAGACTCCTCTAAAGCCCAATGAGCAAAATTATTTTTGACCTTTAGCTGCTGAATTTTCCAAAACAACAAATTATTTGAGTTCTCTATCGATTATATGAAGATTGTGTCATTCCATCACTTCACGTCAGAGTTCAGTTGCCGGTAACGCTTCATAATCGTATGCTTCTCTCTAATTCTACGTCTATACGAGCTCTACGCGTAGTATTTCATCGACTCCATTACCATTTAATCAAAAGATTGATTTTTCCGTTTCTATTTTAAATAGCTAATTAGCTCAATTAGATTAGGAAAATTTCGACATCGCAAGTAGTCGATTCAGTGCTCAGTAAATAGACAGCTCTATTTGTGATTTATAAGAGGTGACCTCTTACCACATCATCAGTAGATCCAATGTTTTTGTACTAGGGGAGAGGTCATCTGCTTCCTCCTGAGCTGCTCGAAATTTCGTCGTATAATGTTGGTATATGAATGTTTATGGAATATGAAATCAAAAAAATATTCTTTTTCTCATATTTTAACTAAATAAATTAGCATAATTTCTTCATTGGTTCAGTAATACGTCAAAATGAATCAATCAACGTTTCCACGTGGTTAATAGAAAAATTTTAATAAATTTTCATAATTGTCGTTCGGTTTTCTATTAATTAAGAGAAGTGTATAAGAATTATTTCTTCGGAATTTTCCTTCACTGTTTCATTGTTGACTTGCAACAGGCAGTCGATCGCTTCAAATTTTACATTGTTTCGAGGTGATTTTGCGGAGTCAGCTTAAGCAGTACTGTTCTTTTCGGATTTCAGAAATGTGTGGATTCCGAATTCCGGTTCTAGTTGCAATGGTATTACTGTCTGCTGTTGTTGTAAAAACAGAAAATACAGGTGGAGAAATTGAAGAGAAAAGTATAAAGAAGTCTTTGAAGACAAAAAATGCTACTTCGTTGATCGATAAAGTAGAGGAAGGTAGGGTCGAAGGAACCGGTCCAACAAAGATTCGAACAACGGATAAAGAAGAGGTCGATGCAGCGGATGTGGCGGACACCGGGGAAATGAATGCGAGAAAGATGCAAGAAACGGTTACAGGAGAGGTCAAAACAACGAACACGGGGGAGACTGGAGCAATTGGAGAGCAAAAAGCAGGCACTCAAGAAGCTGTATCAGGAGTTGCTGACGACGATGATTTGTTTACGCTGGAACATCTCGGATTGGAGATTCCGGTGAAATCGGCCGTTGAGACACTGAATATGGATGTGTTGAAACAAATGCTACTGAAGAAGTTGACCGCAAAATTTGGAAAATATGCAAAGAGCAAGGGACGTAAGAAAAGAACATCTTGAATTATAGTTGCATTCAGTGGGATAATGATATCATGTCGCGGGAGATTTTCAACCTTTCTTTCAATTTGCTTTAATCACAATTGGTTAGCAATGCTGTGACAGTGATATCTGATACCATTAATGTGACAAATTCTGATGCTAAAAAAAATTTTTGTTTCCAATATCGTATCCAGTGGATATCTGTGCAATAACAATATATTATTTCCAGTTCATGTAACATATCATTCATAAAATTAACGAAACTGTGACGAATCTTATTCTCTGAATGATTTTTCCATAAAAATTGGGGCTTCATAGTGAAACAATGGCCTAGATTAAGTTATGTTCTATTCACCGAGTTTGCTTCTCAAGTCTTCTTCAGGAAGATTTAGAAGCTTATGGTATAAGGTTGAACAGTGAATTTCACTAGAACTGTCGAGATTGATTTAACACTTTTACTAACACTCAGCGCAAGGCCTTTTTTATTGGCTGATCAACCTACATCCAATAAACAAATAAACTAGGAAGTTTTATGGGTATTGATTATCCCAGCGATATCAAACTAATATTTGATTCCATGACCCTATTGTTTGTCATATTTAGTATAAATTTCTGTTTGGATCTTTTATAAATTCTCTCCGATTTGTGTGAAATCGATTCTAACTTTTTTACTCTGCCATGTTTACATTATAAATTCAACTGTTGCAACTTTTAGAATAATCTTAGAAATTTCATTCAAAGTTTATTCTATAAGCATTACTGATATAAGGGCTCTGCCATGTTTATAATGCATGCAAATCACGGGATTCCTACTTTACTTAGAATTTGCAATTCAAGAATCATTACGCATTGTTAAAAAGTTATGTAAGAACCTATGACTTAAGTCCGGTTCGGAAGAAATTAATTTACGTCTCAAAATTTTTGCATTTTATCTTCCCTCAGACTAAGAAATTATCACTTTTTCCAAAACTAATTCAATAACATCCGTTTAACAATCCTTTGTAATCTACCGCATTTTGTTTTCGTTGTCAAACATCCCGTCTCATGTCAACTGTCCAAAGGCTGATTTGTAATCGACGAGTGTACGATCAAAATTTTTACACTGTTGAATACAATTAGCCATTTGAATAATTAATTACCACTAGAAGTAAATTTTTCGAATATAACTGTCATAATATATCAATATGATATTGTATCAAACGAACTGAAAACAAGAATTTTCTTTTGTTAGGTGCAGTAATTATGCTGTCACATCCGGTAGGGCATCTTTTTGTGTGCTCGTTTGTTGGCTTACATCATCCATTTGACTTGCTACAATGAATCAAATAAATTTGAAAATCCGTTCACAAACTGCAAAATATAACTAATTTAAATAATTAGTCAATGATTTCTACAAATATATTTTGATTTCTAAATATTATCAGAAGCAGATATTAAACTCCCTCCGCAGTTGATTCACCTTTGTCGCTTGAGCCTTTGCTTGTTTTATTTTTGTTTTTCCTCTTTATGGTCTGAAATGAATGCAGTAATTCGTCACATTGAACATCACGAATCAGAAGTCAATCAGCAATTTAAATAACCTCTACTTTTGGATTACTAAACCAACCGGTTTTGGATTTCGTCGCAAAGCCCATATGAAATGATTGGAATACATGATCAAATAAGCAATCAGAAACACAACAATGATCGCCGTGATACCGAAACTACCTATCAAGTACCAGAAATAACTAGGACATATGCCTTCTTGCTCTCCGCTTTCCAGAAATTCCTTATCCGACATCTCCTTTTAATTGGTCAGTGATGAAAACTTTCGGAATACCACACAAACAGCAAATGAAAATTGTTTTTGAAAAACGATTTTTTAATCATTTTATAATCTGTGAGATATGCAAATCACGGTATAATTAATATGCATTTTACATTTCCATCCGCAATTCCTTCCAAATGCAATCATTTCTTACAGAGATAGCCTGATGTAAGCATAAAATTTTCACTTTTGATTGATTTCTCAAAACTTGGAATTAAAATTTGTTGGAAAGTGATTTTTAAACTTAGTTTGCCAGTTTTACATAAGGTGACTTCGCGACTCTCATGTCAGTCTCAAGCAAAGTTAAGTCGAACGGAAATTGTTAATTGATATGAACCTGAAATTTCCACAGAAACTGTTAATTGATATGAACCTGAAATTTCTGTCATGCAGTAACAAAGCTGGGTAGAATACAAAAATATTCTATACTGTTGCTGTCGCTGATTTTCTTGTTTGCAGAATGCGACACAGTAACGGTTAACATTACATACTTTTGACGGTTGACTCACCTTTGATTGTTCTGTCGGCGAAAACAGTCATATATTCATTTACCAACGATTCTTGCAGTTTTGTGCTTACAGAGAGTCATTGGTCAGTTGTGAATTTTCAAACAGGTTGAAGAGGAATATTGCAAACGAACTTGACAAATTCGAATGGAAAATAAAAAAGAACTTGAAATTAAAATCCTGTAAAAAACATTGTCACTAGTCGCTTTCAGAAGCTATTGCGATCTGTGACAGCAAATCAAGCTGCATTTTAGAAAATCAGAAACTTTTAGCACCACTATTTGGAAATTTTGCTTGTATGAAATATATGGCAGCTAAATGAAGTAGGGAAAAAGTCTCAAATGTTCGGAACAAAGTCTATAAAGCGAACGAATAATGATAGAGATAAATTAAAATGAAGAAAACTGGAATAATTCTTTCAACTGTTTTACTCCTGCAATTGCTCTGCCTCTGATTTAATCAGTCTGTAATGAATTCATCTCGAAAAAAAAATTCATCTGTAATGAATTCATCTCTTTTTGTTGAGAAGCGGTTTTATTATCTGTAACAATTTTTCCAAATATATTTTAAGTACAAACAGTAATATTCCTAGAATGAAAATCACAAAAGACTTAATGAAGTTGTTTCTTGCGATGTTTGCTTCCCTTCAAATGCTTTCGCTTCCTTTCTTTTACCAATCTATCTGAATAAACAAATTTTTCACTCCTTTAATATTAATTTCCTAAAAAACGAATTCATTCATCTTTTGAAAACTAACCAATCCAAAGGCTTTGTAAATATTTAAAAAGCTAACTGTTGAAATGATTACCACTTCCTTTCCTGTGATGATCACGTGCTTTTTTTGATCTTCTCGATCGTTTCTTCCATAGTTCTGTAATTAAAAGTCAATTGAATTTATTTCCCAAAAAAATTAGTTTCAAATTAATATAGTAATCAATTGCATGGAAAATATTATTTGTTTTCTTGTGTCAGATAATGACACAAAGTAGAAGAGACAAAGGACTGAAGGACTTTTATTTAGCTGTCTTTCATTCGCATTTGGAGATGCTTCAATGAACCGACGGTTTAGTCTTGACCTGTAATAGATTACTTCATAACTGATGAAGATTTGAGTTATGATAAATTGTAAAAGAAAACAACCATTATCGACAAATACACAGTATCTAATTAATCTTTTGCACTGAAGAAAGTAGTTGAATCGATCAGTGTTGATGAATATGAAATTGAATACTAACTCTGAACTCTCTTTCGTCTCATTCTTCTCTTTTCTTCCTTTCTTCTGAAGTTCGCATCAGCAATTCAATTTTATTATTTATTGACTCATTAAGCAATCAACTGTCAAAATTTCCCATGTATATTGCAACATTTAACTCCCAATTCACTATCTTTGTAAAATAATTACGAAAATTTCTCATCTCAGTTCTATTCTCACATATATCATCATATCTAACTAACATTTTTTAGGATTGACTGCTTACCGTAGCACTTCTCTTTCTTAAGTTTCGTTTTATTTCATTGTCAGTATCCAACCTGTTGGATAATTCTGTTCCACGAACTTTTTTCTCTTGAAAAACAAACAAACAATCGCGAAAGTTATCAGAATTTTGTAGAATATAATCTGTTAACGTAATCTCATGTTATAACGCCGAAGTTCGATAAGATATTGAAAGAAAGTTTAAAAACGGACTTGGTTTAGAAGATGAAATATCGTGCCGTTGTATACTTCTGCAAATAGAATTTGAAGCTAATCAGTTTTTATCGAGAATCATCGCCATGTTCTCTGTTGTCCTCAATGGAAAATGCAAATTTTTCGTAAATTTGAAATTTGTCAATTTCTGAAGTTGTGCTAAGTCAGGTAAACTGACGCAAAGGTTCGAAAAACGTAGTTTTGAAATAGAAAAGGAGAAGCTAAACAGATTTAAATGGTGCGAGAAATCAGACAGGTTTACTTCTTCGATTTGTTGATTATATTTGAAGCCTGAAAGTTAATACATTTTATAAGGAAATATTATTGCTAGTTAAAAATTTATTACAATTACTTTTTATTTTACATTTTAAAATCTGTTTCTTTTAGCATAAAAGCACAGGTACAGCAATGTGAAAGAAACTGAAAGAAACTGACCTGGTTTCCATCGCGTATTTCCAGTTTTGATCCTGATTTTGGTGCCGTTTCCAGCTCACTTTTAGAATCTGAAACTTGCATTTTTGCAGTTTACATTGAATACTATAACAAAATGTTAAGTTTATATGAATTTCTTATTTCACTGCAGAACCATTTGATCGAAATTAAAAAACTAATAGATTATCTCTTAATGACTTCCCGAATCTATCCCACTGCAATTTTCGGTATTCAAAGTAATTGCACTAGTAATTTATTTGCAAAGAAAAATTACAATTATTGAACCGAAAATATTGGAAGAATTAATAATCGCACGAATATGAATTTTAATGCAGCCGAAAATGTTACAGTAAAGATACGATCACTTTGGTGGTCCTACATAGGGATCACGATAGATTAGTACAAGTGGACCTACCGTTCTTATCAAATTTTGTTTTACCACGCGTCACCAAACGGAAAAAGCTTCGTGGTGTTTGGTAAATTACGTCTTCTGAGAATTCACCATATGAAGCCATGTAACGTAATAATTGAACGATATCATTTGCCGAACATTCAACAAACGTCACCTGTAAATATTCAACAAACTTTAGAAATAGAAATTATAATGAAATAATTTAAATTCTTGAGTCCAATAAGTTTTCAATTCTTTGCTTCTTATTACCTCAGTGGATAAGAACTGTTGAGTGAACTTCTGTTCCGGAGTTATAATATATGGGGAATGGGCTGAAATTGATTATTTCAGTTAGAATTTGCTTACAGTAATCAATTTTTCGCAATGTTGATATCAAAAAAAGATTTTCGATGTAAATTAATGTAAAATTTTCTGCATTGTTCTACATTGTATCAAACAGTAAAGAATTTGTTAATTTTTGTTCAGCTTACTCCTTTTTACCTTTGTCGAGTTTCACTTTTGCTGGTCCACCTTTATCCGTAAAGAGTTCTTCGCCTTTTTCTTTGTAATAAATATATATGGAAAGTATCACAAACATGCAAATAAAGATTAGCGTAACCATAAATCCCATCAACATTAGCACTAACTTTGTTGCAATCTCGTTTGGGATACCTGGAAGTGATTATCAGTAATCCTGAAGCTTATCAGCAGTCATGATATTCAAAAGAATAATAGGTAGGTTCTGTTATACCCTCTTTGAACTTCAAGTCATAGAGCGGTTAGTCATGTTATTCAATGGTGATCAACTTATGAAATAAAAATGAAAAATCTTAATAACCTGCATAGATAACGTTGTGTTCATCATTACCGTTGAAATGTTGATTGATACTGGAAAAGAAAATTTATCAGTATTAAGCTAATAAACTTTAAAAAAAAATTCATTTTGGCACAATTTAACAATTAATGATCACGAAGAAAATTATATGAACATTTGGAACACCTGAAATCAACGGAATAAAATTTTGGAAATGTGAGTAACTGTTAATCTCCCCTATAAAATCATTCATTCAATATGTTTTTCTTTATGAACAACATTCTTGTTCAGTTTGAATAAAAAACAAAAAATTCTTCAAGTTGGATCAGATTTATCAAGAATGATTGCATTGTTTTACAACTTGTCTTAGAGGCAAAAAAGTACAGTGAGAATCCATTTGTAAGTGATTTATTTTGCAAGATAATTGGAAATATTAAGCAAGTCATGCTATTTCAAAGTAATGAACAGTCTGAAGTGCAATCAAAGTAACGGAAGAGCCGCAAAGTTAAGGTCGCTATCTTCACAAATAATTAAAAACTATTATTTAACCAACAGAACGAATACAAACAAGATGATGAGTTTAAATAGTTAATTAATTAATACAACACTGCTACAACTCACGTTCGGTTTACTGTAACAGTAATGTTACTATTCTTTTTCCATCCTAAAATAGTTAATCATCATTAACCATATGGCCGTTAATTTTCATTTCAATTGATAATTATAAGTGGAATTCAGGCAAATTTCAAATTTGAGAACTCTTTGTACATCCATAATATATTACCAACAGTGAAGTTTCTCCACAATTTGAGTTTATCATGCAGTTTTCCTTCTTGATCTTTGTTCACTGAAATGAATCTCTTGTGGTGGCAATATTTTCAACAGTATTAGGCAACTCTTTTCGTTCACGTGGTGCCTGTCAACAAAAGCATTAGGTTTATTTTTTGCTGGTTCTGGTTTTGAACCTGAATATTTTACACAAAGGCGCACTTTTTCTAATTTAATTTATATGACGTTTGGAAACATCCAATGTCTTCTACAGTTAAATTAAAAATACTTTAATTAGTCTAGAGAACTGAGATTTTGCTACATAAAACATTACTTTTTCGCGGTAGTAAAGATAATGTGATAATATAACCTACGAGTATTTCATATTGTTTTTCATACCTTTTGCAGATTTTTGCTGCGGTAACTTTCGTACTGTTGGCATCAGAAGGAACTAACCGTTTCTTTGAACGAAATTTAGAAATAACGCTTAAATTAAATTCTTTCGTCATAAAAAGAAGAAATAAAGTAATTTGCATAATTTCCGTAAATTTCAATTACCTTTCCGCTTTAAAAATACCACTAAATTTAAAAGAGTTCCCAAAAAAAGGATGGATGGTTCAATGCTTTATTAATCATCGTACATATATTATAATTAAAAATAGTATTATGAATAGCCTATTGGAATGATAACCTTCAAACCTTTTATAATGAAAGGGGAAGATCCAAATTTACATTCACAATACTTTTCTCTATGTTATGAGCCAAGACGTTATGCGCAATTTTCAAAAAGATGGTATGACACTTTTATGATGAAACGTGTATTTACATCTATACTAAAAAGTTGCATTTTCAAACCTTTGTTCAGAGTTCTTCATCATTCTATTTGGTTATCTGTTCAGACTCACCATATTCTTAATTACTGAAAGAATGCCGACACGCTTAATTAAGCCATCGATACTTTTCCAATAATTCCTCCTCAAATTCTACTAGATTAGTTTCCTGCATTAGCATTAACATATGTTTCTCTTGTTCAGCTTTATTCAACATTGTTTTCAAAGCCCCTTTTCATAGGATACTTTGTTGAAAATTCTATCTCTCTCTTTGTTTTTTGCATTTACGACTTTCTTAATACATGCATATTTAATACATGGTGAGGTGAGTTTGTTACATATTGAAGAAATATTGCATTATCATCAATTTTCTTCTTTTTCAAATTTAAATCTTCCACATCTTCACCGCTTTTGATATTATCATCACAAGCATTTTGTTCTGTTTAAAGTGTCACAGGTGTGATTCAATTAGTTTGATCCTTTTCCTTGACCGTTAAATTTCATTAATGTTTATTTGTCTGAAATGAGAAGACCAATGAACCTTTTCATGATCATTTATTATTTTCAGGAGAAAATTTTTCGTTATCCTGATATTTTTGATTATAAATACATTTTTTAAGCATTTTGAGTTCAAATCTGTCTTGTCTTATTGAAAGCCAAAATGTGACCCAAACTGGAAGAGGAACTAATGGAGAAAGAGTTATGATAATTCCCAAGAAAATGGCAAAAGAGGGGAATTTTTATCTAATTATATTCATTCCTTAATTGTTTGAATCACTGACTACAGTTTTACTCGTTGAAAAATGAAAGGAAAAAAGTAAAATGATAAGAGAAAATAAATTTTAAATCTTATAGTAATCAGTTGTTTAACGATTTTTCCGAAACCCAGTTTTATCTTTAAAAAGGCAGAAAAATTGTATTTCGGCTATCTGTTATCGATGCCAGTCTTTGAATAACTTGATAAATTCAAATTTCACATCCAAAACACTAAGGAGACAAAATGGCCAATTGATAAATACAACAAGCAAAGCGATAGATTTATGGAAGCGTGAACTGAACGTAAATCTCTCCACTACCTTTTCTCTTATTGCTTTATCTGCCACGGTAAAACAGCATTTGCAATGAAAACGAGGAAAAAAAAAAAGCAAAAAAGAAGAGATATGCAAAAGATGAAAAATTGAAAATAACTTTCCATCTTTTGCATATCTCTTCAAGCACTCTATCAATAGAATCATAGCAAAAAATCGTTAATTTTCGGACTTTTCATCAGTTGAAATGGATGGCTCATCGTTAAATTGTTTCCAGTTTTATAAAATTTGGAAATCAAGATGAAAATTCCAGGAATATTTAACGATTCTCTTTAGGATTCCGCAAAATCTTTAATGTAAAAAAATTGGTATGATCACCTGATTTTCTTTATAATTCAGAAAGGATTGAAGGGTAGGAATTTGAGAAATTCCGGTTCGATAAATTAGTGCAACTGAATTTCAGGAATTTCGATTAAAGTAAAGACAGGATATAAATGGAGGATACTAGTACGTTAATAAAATGAAGAAGAAAGAGATATGCAAAAGATGAAAAGTTGAGGAATGAAAACTTTGTAAAGGGCTTTAAGGGATAATAAATGTGAAAGGTGATGAAGAGATTCATGTTTTAAATATAAGTGGTCACATCATCTTCAAATATTTTATAATAGTAAAACTAACAGGTTGTAGTGTTCGTGTTTCGCTACGATCGAACTGAAGCGACAAGGAACGATTCCTGATCGAGTCTGAACAAATCGGATTTTATTTTTGAAGTGGCATTCATCCTGAAGAGTGTTCATACAAAATATTTTAACTGACTTAGATTTTGTAAAAGGACGTCACTGCATGTTTTCTTTTTTTGTATTCCTTGTGATTACATCAATATATATTGTCGCAGAACGTTATTCTATTCTAAGTAAACACATATATTACTTACATTACTTGTCAAAGTAATTCAAATCTTGTTAATTGAATTTCCTTAATTAGTTAAACCAATAATCCATTTCCAATTGAAGTTGGCGCATAATGCTGAAAAGAATTTGAAGTTTACGATTAGCATGCAAATTTATCGTATTTATGCGCCAATAACAACAAACTACTAATTTCTTTGCTCATTTATTAATTAATATTTGCATAAAATTTGCGCTGCTGAGCATTTAATACGTAATTTTAATTATGAAACCATTAAAAATAAGCATATTTTTGACAAAACTTTCAGGAATTATCAATATGCAATTAACTTTTTTCTGCTGATGATTATCATAACAGTAAGTTATTACTCGAACAATACAGATAATGTCACATGAAGAATTGGTATTCGATGGAACCATAAAATTTATTTATTTTTTCTTAAAGAGCGCAAATTGCAGATTCTGAGCAGCAGCTGCTTCAAAGTAATGTATCCTAACGCGATTCTTCAAAAACCAATTGTTACATGCGAACCGGGACGAATTCTTATTGAAGTATCTTATTTTAATTCAAGTGAATAACTTCATCACTTTATCATTTAACATATATGATTCGGCCATAAGATGAATGGATTACTAACCTACTCATTCGTTGTCGAAAAATCCCAGCCCTATGCGGAAAAGATAGGGAATCTAAAATTCTGCAAGTAATCTTGATACTTTGTGATTTTTCTGGTTCAGAAAAAGTTGTGTCTCTTTTCTCGACTTCACCAACTTTCTTAGGTTCTTATTGTGATTAGGTGAAATTTTCATAAGCAGTTGAGCGGCTCATTCCCCACCCCACATTAGGAAGAAACTCAATGCATGACAGGTGAATCACTTGCCTTAAATGTAAGCATAAAAATAAATGGATGCTCAACCACTACTTTTAATTTGATTCTTCTGTCCATACTTGTACATGCTTAATTTTATCTCGACTTTTTTTCATCTAATCACTTAAATCTACAGATAATGCAACACATGGAATACATTCTTTCATCAAATATACCCTGAAGAATATGCTGCAAAATTATTTCTCAAACAAGTCGCTCTAAAAGCTGTTCGTTCGAACGAGTAAATTAAATCCATCTCATATCTATGCAGAAGATCATATAGACGATCCAGATTGTGCTTCCAGGAACACAAATCAACTCGCACTGTCACTTGGGGATTGTCGGTATGACAGTCAAGAAAACGGTACAGTATTGCTTGGGTAGTCTTTTTAACTTTAATTAACCTGTCGTTCTGTTTCATGCATTTCACGGGAAAAAACAGCATCAATTCTAAAGTTAATTCTAAAGTTTTCATTTCTAAAGTTTCTTAGTCAAGAAAGATTACGAGCTTTTATTTTCTGTTAAATGCTTTCAAGCAATTTTAAAAAAATTCGGCGTCTTTCATCTATAAGATTTGCATAACTGTACAACTACTCCGTCTTTCATCACTGATAGTGACCGATCCTATTGTGCTCACTGTGTTTACCAAAAGACAGATGTCGTCGAGGATCTTCAGCAGTCACTTTCAGTAAGATATAGTGTGGATAACATTTCGACACCTATCAGTTGAAGTTATTCCCAACGTATAATTTTCATTATTATTTTTTTTCATTATTATATAACGTATAATTTTCATTATTATATTTTCATTATTATTTTCATTATTATAGTACTGAATATTTCAATGCCTGTATTTTCGGATAAGTACAAGTTAAGATGAAAATTTTCAGGGATTCCGTACCATCTGATCTAGAACCACAATTTGACTTGACAGGATCTAGATGCAACTATCAGATCAAGCGGAATTCAATCGAGGGACCACTTATCCGTTATGCATCACTTGGAGAAACTGTTTACCACGTTTGGAAATGTTATGGTGGTAACATATAAATATTTATGGTTTTGATTCTGAAGCTCAGTTTTTCATCCCTGACCAAATATTTCAGAAAACATTCAAATATTGGTACAAAACTGCTATGTGGAAGATGGTGAAGGAAATCATATCCTGATTTCGGTTTTCCAGAAAATTCAGCTCAGGTAATATGCAGTAGACATCAAATTTGATAAAATTTCATCTTTTCTTTTTCTTCTCTTCCAGCCGTATGTCCATTGTCCAAAAAATAAAGAGCGTGACACAAAAAGAAGCAGGTCCACAGATGCATTTGTTCAGGCACCACCAACAAAAAGAACATTAGCAGCACAAGTGACACCGGGAATAGCAGTAGAAATAACAAGTAAAGAATCATGGAATGCAGCAACCAGAGAGCTTGATTTGATAACATTGCCAGCATATTCGCAGTCGTTGACAGCCATCACAGAAGCATCGAAAACAGAAGAACTGTTTTTTATATCTACAGCTAATGATTATGGATTCGATCTGGTGAGTAGCGATCCATTGCCACCATCCATACATCCAACGCAGAGGAACTCTGAAGAGGAAATACAAGTAGAACTAAGGTAATCTGTTAGTCATCTTGATGTATTCGCATATTTGTTTATTAACTTGCATTTCTTCACGTATTCCAGCATTTATCAACGACGAGCAAAATGGAATTCCTTCACCAATAGAGTAGTAGAAAAGGATGTTTCTTCGGAATCATTAGAGAATAACAAAGATCACTCACTACCTTTCATATGACGTAAGTGGCGTGCTAACGATTCTCGAGTCACCTGATGAAGTTATTTACTTTGGTAAACTTTTGATCAATTTCCTTCATTTTTCAGGTGATTAAAATTTATTTTGAATAACTGATCTTGTACTAAATTTGGGCGAATTTATAATTTCTTCGGCTTTTAATGAACAGATTCATTCAGCATGCTATCCTGAATATATCTTCCATAACTTTTGCTAATTAAAACAAAAGTGTCAAGGAAAAGACGAATCAAATTAACATAATTTATGTTATATGATAAGTATCTAAAATTTAGATATGCCTGAAGACTAACCGAATATGTTTAAATCAGTATGTTTCTATCAACTGGAACTGATATGACAACGGATTAGATAAAATGAGGGCCATTTGCAGATGAAGTGATGTCAGTTTTAGATCCTTAAATATTATAAAAGAATAATTCTTTCATTATGCAAATATCATTACAGAAAGCAAATATCTATTAAGTGGAACTCGTCATGATACAATTATCCGTGGCATTACAAATATTGAGAGCCATTCTTTGGTGAAAATACAGGCTGCAGCTCGTTTTCTTGGTTCTAATCGAAGTTATTACCCTATCGGTCATCCTGATATTTATCACAATCTCATGCATTAGGCATTACCAATCCCGTAACCACATCTTAATTTCTTGTGCTGAAATTGATGGACTGCGACAAGAAATCCAGAATTGCTGCGCTTCGTTTTAACATGATAACTTATTCTCGAAAGCGACCCCAATATTACTCTAAATAACCAGTTATTTCATGGCGGTATGTCAAATCTTTCGGCATGTAGTGATATAGGCAGTATTGGCAGAAGTCCAAATTAATAAAATTAATGAGCAAATTCATCTCGAACTTGCAATATCTGCTTGCCAAGAAAACAAAAAAGAATAGACAATTCTGGGCCAATCAATCACGAATATTTGGCATCTAGAAATCATCGATATTTCAGCTGTTGAAGAACTTGGAAGAAAAATCTTAAAAGTACTATTAAAAATAACCGATTTGCATTCCACCAAAACTTTAACCATAAAACAGATAACAGATCAGCAAAATATGCTTTGACGATATTTACGACAAAACAGTTTCATGCCGTTCCAACATTTTTTAAAAATAGCACTCTGCAAGACGTCATACAGTCGGATGCAATTGCATTAGATCGATGGGTACTTCGCCAAATTTTATTCTTCTAAATGATGATTTGCATTCAAGCCATGTTGGAAAGTGAGTTCATAAATTGAAAGAGAGTATTTGAAGGAAAAAAAAGTGATTTTTTGACCCCCATGAATTCTCTTTTGCACTTTTCCAAAAACTCTCAGTATCGAATCTATTCTAGTTTGAATCTTCACATTTCCACATTTAGTAAATCGAATCAAGGAAGTAAATCGGCAGGCTATTGATTGTTAGACATCTCAACATTGCTATAAATTTAATTGTTAAATTAATAACTTTTAACAATGAGACTAAGATTATAATATCAATTATTTAATAGAACCAAGGGAATGACAAGCACGGATACTTGAAAACAATTTGGCAATTTGAAACTATTTTATCATACTTTTATTCTTAAAAGTTGCTGAATTTTGTAGAAATCAATCATCAATAAAGATTTATAATTAATCAGATTTATAATTAATTAATACTTTAAATAATTAAACTATAAACCTTGTCAAAAACATTTTGATAGGTATAAGAGCTTTAATAAACAGAAAATACGTCGTTTTTTCAAAAACGCAATCAAAACAACAAACGACGACACAAACTGCAAACTTTTCTAAACTTACTGAAAATTTCTATTTAATTTTGATCGTCCTCTCTGACAATTTATTAATTTTTCAGCGATTAATATTTTAACAGTTACAATCTTCACTGACTTCCTTATTCAGCGACGATTTCCATTTTTGATCATCATGTCTGTAACACCTGATACTGTTGAAGTTTATTTCAGAGACTTCCTACTGAAATGATTTCTCACATTGTGAATTCACTTCGAGTAGTAATGTCACGCATCAGTTGTGTAATTGTATTAAATTCGTGACAAACAGCACTCAATCTAAGAAAATGAAAGGTTTGTGAGATATTCCTATGCTTCATTTCCAAGTAAAATTTCAGCATAAATGTTTTGAAGTGCTATCTGAAGCTTTTAAATTTTTTTGTATTTTTCAGATATTTAATTTCAAGTTAACCATTCGTCTATTGTGAGTTGAGTTTACTAAATCTGTGCTATTATTGCTAAAAACTGACATACTTAATGATAAATAGATGCTGCGAGTAATTATGAAGTTAATAAAAAGAAAAAAAAACAACAACTTCGTGGTTACTAGAAGTCATTTAGAGAGCGCAATATTTTTAAACACTCTTAGCGCCATCAATTTCATTCCGAAGTGGCATACATAACCAATCAATTTTTAAATCAGTTCATAAGTTTTGCTCATAAGAAGAAACAAAAATCACGTCCTTCGTGCATGGGAACCTGTTTTTTAGTAAGGTTGGTCCCATGTCTCTCTTATCATCTTTTTTAACTCTCTTTTTATATTTCACATTTATCTATTATTAATTATACTGTAGAAATGTTGCTCCTCTTGCTGCTAGTATAGAGTGAACATGGAATGGTTGGATTAAAAGAAAATTTCAGTAATAAGGACGATAATTCTCTCAACCTACCCATTTCATCTACCAACCCTACCCAAGTTATCACTTATAATTCATTAATCGACCTTACTTTCATTGTCAACTGGTGATCAATGTGAGCATATGTTATTTTCACTTTTCGTTCTACAGCGGTAATTGCAAAAAGAAAAATTGACTTGATAGAGTTTGTGAAACTTTATCGAAGTAGTTCAGATAACGCTTAAAGATGTGAATGATATGTTTCTGAATGATATGTTGAATATTGTTTGAATGATTGTTTCTGAATGATATGATGAATGACATGTTTTCCTTTAAATATTGGCAAGTATCATCTTGTTAAGGTTACTCAACGACCATTTTATTATTCGTCATTTGAACTATTCATGACCTTAAGCACCTGATGTATCATTCGTCATCATGTTAATTACTTTTTGTTTTGAAATTATTATAGAGTCAACTTGCCAACATAGTTGTCAACATTCTTCAACAATTTTTCGGCTCTTACTAATGAACGAAATGACATTTTCGGAGCATCTGTTGTATCTCGAATACATGCTGAACTACGGAGAATTCAAAGAATTGTTATTTGCCTTACATTTATTTATGTTGTAAATCGTTTCCGAAATCTAATAATACATTATTCCTTAGAATAAGATTAATATGGAAACGTAATATGTCCTATTTGGAATTTTCTTGTTCCAAGTATCTCTTGAACTATCGGTCATTCAGATCACCGTTCACAAAGGGAATGATTTTGATTTAACAGATTTTAATTGAATTTCAATTTATGCAAACATTGGTGAGCCAACCATCAAGAAACACGCAGGCATGGATAGCAGGCAACGACAACATTATAACCGCATTGGTTTTCTTTCCCAACAGCCCTTTTGCCAAAATAACAGGTTTCATTTGATCATCACCATGAATAGCAGTGGAGATTGTTCAGAAGAACTTTTGATGATGCGGCCTATGTACTTCCTCTTCATTCAATTCGATGGATTTCTAAATTTTTTCATATTTACATTTCAATACAGAAAGAGCGATTTTCTTTGATAAGCCTTCCAAGGGAGGAGACTGTGCTAATACTGTGTTGCGGTGACCATACAGAAACGACCTGAGTAAACCTTTTCAAAATAAGTACTTCTTCTAAAGATCCCTCACATTCTTTGAAACTTAAAGCTATTATGCAGTTAGTAAACAAGGCTTAAAACTTAAAGATCAATCGTTGGCAACCACAACTAATATCTCAGATATTACTGCAAATGATGTCTATATAATAGTTGTAATTCAGAAATTTTCAAAGGACATAGTTGTTGCAAATGATAGTATTCATTGTATCACTACAAAACCATCTCTGTGCAATGCTTTCACATATAAAGCATCACCATATCATCTTGATGTTTGTATTTCAAAAATGCACAAACTTAGGCAAATTTATCTCCCAATTTATTAACCAATTAAGAATTCTCCCATTTTCCACTATTTTACGTGTTGACGATAAATTTCAGAGATGAATAAGTATTATAGCATATAGCAGAAATGGAATTATTGCTTCATTTTTTTGAGATGATTGGATTGATCATTAATGTGTTGAAAGTTAGTTACATAAACAAGAAATAACCAATGTTTTGATAATTAAGGAGAACGTTACACAACAAGATCTGAGAATCTTTCAGATGATGGTAGTGTGGTAGAAAGGAAATGTCAAGAGACATTTGTCTTCTCTTTCTTCTTTTAACAATAAAATGCATTTCTTTTCAGGAAAAAGTGTTTTCAAGTTTTTCTTTTTTTTAAATTCAAAAGGAATATTTCTGAGAGAAAATATTTACCAATGAAATGGATGTTCATAATAATCGGAAATTAAGAGTTGCTGAGAAGAAAAATGAATATTTCTCATCGGAAGTTATAAGTGACGATATGTTGGATTTTCAGTTTTTGTAAAAATGAATAAACTGATGAATGGTTGATGAATGAAGTTTGAAGTGTTAGTTGATTGAAAATCAAGCAGGAGAAGAACTTTGGCCCGTTGGAGGTGGGATGTGTGACTGCTAAACTTCAACCTTGCTAAGACACCTTTTTTTGCATCCTCTTTCCCTGGTGTAATACTTCTCATCGTCACTCAATAACTCCCATCAAATGACATTTTATTAAGCAAACCATCTGTGATTCTCTGCTCCCGTCCGTCTCTTCTTCATTTGATGAACAAATTTGCCTCATTTTATATAAACACGAAATTTGGGTAAACAAAACATATAGCTTGCTCGATTCTTTACTCCATCTTGCTTGTTCTACTCCTTTCCAACAGCTCTTCTGGCAGTTGTGACAGCGGGATTAATTACAAAGCAGTCAGTCCTCTCGGTAATTGTAGCATGTTTTCAACAAAATCGACACTGCTGTCTTTAAGGTTTAGTAACTCGTAGTAAGGCGGTTCAAACTCGCACTCATTCATAAATCAAACAGAAGAATAGCTATTTAATCACGATTTTTTGCTGCAAAATTGTAGCGCAAATGTCGCGTTCGCAACTAAAAAGTGGTGGTACTAGCTTGACTAGATAATAGATTAGTTGCAATCATATCAATAAGAATGGTTTTAATAAAACTGTGGTGCAAATGAGGGAATTAACATTAGTATTCACAGCAATGATAATATTAAATCAAATCTAATGTTCAAAATAAGCAGAGTAATTCATAATTGGAACGTTAAAGCACGTTGTTTGAATTTAATAGCAATAGATTTGCAACTTTTTGGCGGTTCCTAAATATATCTATTATCGCTACTTTTCTGCACTGATGACCAAAGGCATTTTCCTCCAATTTTTCGTTACTAAATTCACTGAAAACTTTGGAATGCATCGTATAGTTTGCTTTTCTCCAAAACGTATAATACAAAAATATTCTGAGAATAATGAAATAAATTTAAATTGTCATTGTAATCATAAAAGTCGGAAAGCTTTTCTATCTCAAAAGAGCATTTACCTCTTTTTAAATATAAAGCAAAGCAAACTTATCATAACCTGATACTAGCAAATTAATAACAGTATGGTAGCAGCTTATTTACTAAACGGCTAAAGTAAAAAGCTTAGATACTAACTTAAATATTTAAATACTGAAATAGAAGGTTTAAATACTTGGATATTTAATTTCTCCGAAATTCCCATTTCACTAATACAAAGGTATTGTCACACTATTTTGGTTTTGCAGATGTTGGTCAATTATATACGACTAATAGTTGTATATGGATTGTTCGCTTTTATTACAGCTTCTTATGAGGAACTATGCAAATTTGCCAGTAATATTACAGGTAATTTTGGTGTTGAAAAGTGGAAAAGTACTGCTTAATTTAATTTTTCAAGTAATATTTGCCATCTTTTCTATCGTTGAGCAATAATATAATCACAATGGTTGGAGAAATGAAAAAGTTTGGTTCAAATGGTCTTCAAGAAGATGATTTCAATTATATTCTTCTGGAATTATATTATATTCTTTTGGAATTATACTTTTAAATCAGCAAAAGTATTTTAACTTTTAGCATGTTTTATGATAAAATTTAAGATTTCATTATGATAGGAATCTATCGATATGTTAATTCAAATGCAACGAAAGAATAAGACAAAAACTGAATTTTGATAATTGGCAGAAATTTTGGATGTTTATTTTTAGAATTATCTGGTTTATTTCACGTTGTTGTGACTTAATTTCTTTTTGATATCAATCAAGCCTGGAAATTCCAAAAAGTTTTTAACTTCAGTTAGCAGCATTAACAACGTTGATATATAAAAGTGATACGCCGATGAAGCTTAAGCATTCATTACGTGAAGACAAAAAAGTGTTTGCTTTAAAAATTTTCGTCTTTTTTTAGTGCCGTCATTACGTGTGAGCAATTTTTCGAAATATAAGGAAAGGCGAAACACAAAATCACAGTTTATTTTAAACAACTTTAATTCTTCTTTCCAAGTACTCACTGATTCCTTCTCTGTATGATGAATAGATTAGCTTGAATCATTATTGACTTACTGTATTTCCTGAAAGCGCAAATGGAGTACAATTGGCACAATCCGAAATATTTAGCTTAATTATAATTGTTAAAGACATTTTTTTTGAGAAATTAGACTCATTAATAAACATAAACAGATACATTATTAAAGATTTTCTCATCCATCATTTGAATATAAGCAGTATATTCAATTCCATCATATTGACTCATGCAAGATTTAAAGTAATTATTGGTATATGAAGATGAAATTATATTTAAGCAATAGCAGAAACTTTTACTAATCTGAAATTAAATCAGACATGCGTAGTTGTTAAAATGCAGTAAAAGCAACTTGGCAACAATAAAATGAAGCTAAGTGATCGTTGAGGCGGAATTCTTTACAGTTATTTGATGCTATATCTAGTTGTTATCCATGACAATGTTGAGGTGTTATATTAAGCTCAAACACCAGTACAATTAGCTATCATTAATTCTGCTATAACATTTCATCATATTCGATTTAAATGTCTCAGATGATGATCAAGAAATGTCATCTTTAAGAGAATCAGCAATTGTTTATTAAATTACTTGAGAGAGAAAACATTTCAGATTATTTTGTTTTTTTTTTAATTGAAATTTCTGTTTAACAATCATCAGAAACTGTTCATTTCAAAATTGATCTTTAAAAAACCAGTTTTCTGTTACACAAATAACAATCACACGAATCCATTTTGAGACTAACATCAGGCGACTGAATGGTAGCACTTTCCATTCCATATTTGGGCGAAGTTTCAAATATGAATGAAAAAAAAACAATTTTTTTGATGAAAATTGATTATACGGCGAAAGCTATAATAGAATATTACGAAAAGAAATGGACTAACATCCTTATTACCTTCGTTCCTATTTTCAGATGTGGAAGAGTTAGCACATCATAAGTACCAGGTACTGGAAGATTGTTTATATTATAAGCTTAGTCAGGATGCAACTGCTATGCAAGGTAAATCAAACGCCATTAGTATTCTGCCTCCAAGTATAGCTGCCGGTGAAACTTTGGATGCTGAGGTTATTGAAATTGCATTGAAGCAACTATGGATGGTATGTATGTCTTTTGAAAAAATTAAATCAGCAAATTTCACTGAGTTTCCAACACAGAATAACTTTCTTCTGTTGAAAAATAGACAATAATTAGATAATGAGCATTCAATGATCGATTTCTAAATTTCACAGCGTATTTCTCTCCCGAAAATTGGAGGGGTCATTTCACTACTATCAATTGAAAGCATTTTCAATTTTTAGTTTACAAATTTATGTTTGCAAGAGATGACTAAAGCGTGCTAATTTCTATACATGACATCTACGATTTTTATTTCCATATTGAAATATTCTGATTGTTAATCAGTAAGTGATTTTTCAGAATGAGATTTGGCATGTGATGAATATAAATGGACATTTCTTAATTGTATGTTTCATTTTTCTCAAGAATTTTGAAATCGATTCACTTTTCCTCCTTTTTTGCAACAAAAACATTGGTGTAAACATAAATAAATAATCAAATAAGTGAAAACTAATAAATCCAGAGACAATTTAATTAACTGGAACGCCTAAGGCATTTCCTTAGTAAGGAGTGGTACTTTATTGTTTCGGTATTAATATGGCGAATGTTCCCAAGCTATTACAAAATTTTTTGAATGAATTATTCAAACAGTTACTGTCTCTTACTTCTATCAAGGCATTAGATTACAAATTAACGGCAATTTTAGATCTTATGAATTAATATTATTTTGCGAATTGTAAAGTGTTTGAAGGAAACCTCTAGGAGAAGTGAAAAGTGAATTAATAGTAATTAATAGACAAAACAGTTTCCCGAACTATCAATTAGAGGAATAAAAATGACAAAATCTGATAACGAGAAAAAGCGCAATCAGTTAAGTTGTACTGATAATTACTGAGAGATAATTCAGTTATCAATATAACTTAAAGTCATTTTTGTATAATCCATGGAAATTACTGTTAGTTGTACCTGTCGAAAAACATTGTTCTCGTGACAGACTCGAATTTTAAAAACCATGATTGAAATGACATATTTAGAATGGCATTCAAACCAAACAGATTTTGTGATATAATAAATTGAGGTTACATTCAATTTTTGTGGCATTAATCCTGGAGCGGAGAATGATTTACCTGCAGACACAAAATCACAATTTACTTTTGAAAGAGGGAACACAAGGCATTTCTATGCATCCATAATTCGGGTCAGAAGTTTTCAAAATGTCCTTTTATCCGAATAAATTTTTAAGTAAACTTTTTTAGTAAACATTTTAAATTTTCAATTAAAATAGATAACTAAAATAAATGAAAAAATAAGTAAGTAATTAGTTACATAGAAAGCTGAAATTTCTTAAATATATTGGAATCTTCAACAGGGAACTTATTCTTGAAATAGAAAGAATCGATAGATAAATCTATTTCTAAGCATTCTTTCTTCGTAAATTACTATCAGAACATAAATTTAGTACTTAAAAATATATACCTGGATTTTGAGTCATGGAAGGATCGCAGGATGAAGTGGGATTTCAACGAGTGGAAAACCGATACGTTAAACATACGTTTATATGGCAGGTTGTGGGTACCAGATATTAATAGTGATAAGTACGTTTTAAATCATTTGATTGCAACATGTATACATAATTTAGTCGAACTTGACCTTCAGAATTGTAATACTGCAATTAGAAAGACCAATTTGAAACATGAAGAAGGTAACTGATCTGTTACAAAAAAAAAGGCTGGAAAATTTTCGAGGACATTTTGAATTAGAAATAATCTAGAATTTTCACTGAACAAAACTTTCATTGTAAATTTACAAGTGATGACTTCTGTCATTAATTTGAATAAATTTAGTTTTAACTTTTATTTTATATTTTCATCTGACAATTTTGTAAATTGTCATTTGTAGTTGGATCATAATCTGTCTAGCCTAATGTTAGACCAATGAATTTTCCTCAACTTAACAACGATCTTACTGTATTAGCTAAGTAGCTTTTCGTTAGCCAATTTTCATTCGCCACATTTTTTGCATCCATCCGTCCAACGATCATTTCGTTTCTCAAGTATATTTGAGATCTGAGAATACTGCAAAGCATCCGATTTTTGTTCATTCGAACGTTTTGATTTTCTTACATTTTTTCTAATATTTATCTCTTATCTTTTAAAGAGTATCAAGACTTATCGAATTAAGTTTTCTAAATTAAAAAATTTCAGTGTAAAATGGTAAGAGATTTAATCATCAACAGTTACAGATTTCAAACATCAACACAAAATGGTGATTATGCACAGTTCTATAATATTGTGGCTAAAAACAATGGTAATGTTACTGGACGTTTGGAATTTAAGATGCAAGCTCACTGCGATATTGATTATAGTAACTTCCCGGACGTTAGTTTTCTTGTAAATCAAGTTGTTCGAGAAATTCTTGGTTGAAAAATTAGGAAGCATTTAAATTTTTGCCTCTAATTTTATTTTACAAAGCTAAATTATTCATTCCTTAACACAATTATTCGCATTGTAGGACGACAAGAATTGCTGCTTTCGGCTGAAATCAGTTCTTTATCCTCATTACATCAGATACTATCTTGCTCGGGGTGAAGGTGATACTCAAAATTCAATTTATCAAAATAAAATCATTTCTGATCTATTGCATAAAAAGCAAAATTTTAATAAGAACAGATTGTAAAAGAAATTGAATTATTCTACAGATGGATTGGATCTCACAAAGCTGAGGACTAATTGGCATGTGCGAGATGCAACCATCAAAGTCTTGCCGGATGAGGATGATCGCAAGTTAGTATTCCGTTATTTTTGAATACTTTTTGCAATAATCTGCATTTTGCAAGATTTAAGTGTAACAATGTAAGCAACTTTCAGAACACAAATGCTAGAAATTTGTTTGCAAGTGCGGCGTCGATCCTCAACGCTACGTATCGAGCTTACTCTTCCCATGATGGTTTCTTCACTACTTGTTGTGATTGCACCATTCTTCGGTTCTTTTCGTGATCAAGTATGTGTCTCTGAAATAAAATTCGTATAATATTACTGTTTTAACTGCTTATTTCAGAGTAATTTCTTTTTTTGCTCAACGATATTTGTGTTCACTTTACTTAGGTAACATACAAATAACTCATCTGCTTTTATTAAAGTTTCCTTTATGATCAACCTATCAAAAAGACTTGCATACCAATTGCATGCTTCTCTTGCAATTACTGTTAAACTTTGAATTTAAAGTTTTCTAATAGTTCGCAGAATTATTTTATTTTTGCAGATTAACGTGAAATTGTTTGCGATATTCATTCAGCTAGTCAGTTTCACATTTCTAGCTATAAAGGCTCCTCAGGTTGGATTTGGTGAAACTGTTCCGCACATATGTGGGTTTTTGATTGGATTATAGCTCATTTCTTTTAACTTTTAGCTCAATCTTCTTCTAGTAATGAAAACTGTCTTTTGCACTGTTCTGTTTACTGCAAAAGGTTTCTCAAACTGCAGCATCATTCAAAGTAGGCAGCAACACTAATGGGAATTCCTAATTGGGAATAAAAGACCGTAAGGAAAATTATTTTTTATTTCAATCTATTAACTGTGATTAAGGAATTTGAAAATTATTTCAGATACATTTTATGTTTTCACAATGTCTACAACAGTTGTCAGTTTACTTCTGACTCTTGTTATAAGCGCTATGTCACGAATTCGACGGAAATTACCACCTGGTAAAAATGAATAATGACAGTTATTTGTTTACATCAACAAATAGTAGTTACTGCTATAAAATATTTTTCATTATTTCTCTTTAAAAATTTGCAATTAAAATTTTATCCAAGCATTAGAATTGAAGTTTTTGATTAAAGAAAGAAATGAATTAAAATTTAAAAAAACATTTAATCACATGCGACTGCTTTAATTGTTCAAGTATCGATTATGAAAATGAAGACGATATTTTTATGAAAGCATCAAATCTTCAGCTGAATAAACAGGCTATTTTTGGAATACCATATTTCGAATTCAAATTTTTTGTAAAAATTTGCTATTCGTAGCATTTGAAAATTTGATTTTCAAAGTAATGCCCTTCATAAACGAAATTTTTTAGCGATCTAATGCAATTTCATAAATTCTTCCGTCGGATTTCAAAATTGCTCTCTTCGATCCGATGATATTTCCTGTGAATCATCACAGTAATTTATTTAAAAAAATATCGTTCCAGCACATCGATATACATTGCTGGCTTCTGCGCTCAATATCAGCTTGTGTTGCGGGAGTGAACCGAATGCTGAAATAGATGGAACTTCAGCAAAAGATTATCACCAAGACTGGCTACAAATTCACACCGCCATCAATAACGTCGTCTCGTTCCTCATTCTCGTTGCTTATACAATTGGTATCATCGTTATCTTATGTGTTTGATAAAAACATTGTACAGAAAATACTGAATCCAATTTTCTAAATTTTAATAAATGTTTTATTAAGACGAGAGACTGTTCCCATTACAAGCATTCTTGAATATCACATCAGTTATGCATTCAAAACAGTCATTTATATAAATCTTTCGATTCCAACTGTTTGAAGCAATACCTTGCAATAGCGCATTTAGTCGAAGTAATTCAGAATCTTCCAACATGAATGTTAACTAAAGGAATGAACTAATAAGCACGAAAAACAATGAAATAATGTTACAACATATTGTACTGGAATAGTGGATAAGATGTATTATAATGAGTTAAATCAAATGGAAGAATTTTATTAGATCCACCGTTTGGTACGGACAATGAGTAGGTTCATTTTCCTATCCCTTTTACACTGGAGATATAGAATTCCCAAGAAATGTGGAATGGCTTTTTCATTTTTGCCATCGTTGCCATCTGTAGATAAGAAGACCCAGCTTATTTTACCTTATCTTGAATCTAGAAAACTTTTTACCGTTCTTTGCATACTTTAAATGAAGAGAAAAAAGCTGAATTAAATTACATAAGGTGATAAACAAATGGAAGGGTGTGATTTCAAAATGATATACAAATCTGATCAATTATGAACTAGAGATGGATCCAATGAACAAATTTTTCCTAATTATGGCGCATTTTGATCTTCAAATAAGTAAATGTGATTGTATGGCTGTTATTTCATTTCGTATTCGGTGACACGACAAAAAATAAGAGACGTTATTCCCGAAATCAACAAATGCAAGATATTCATTAGTCTTATTATTCCAGCTCACTTATAAATATTTCAATACATGTTAAGTTACTTTACATACATTCACTCGTTAACTTTTACATCTTTAATGCTAATATTCGGTCTAATTCAAGAGAAAGTTGGCACAGTAATTCGAAGTACCAGTTTTCATTAAATTTAATAAGTTAACTTTTCCAAATTTTTATATGCTTGCTTGCGTGGCGTAGAATAAAAATAGATCAGAGGGTTTTAACATTGGAAAAGTAGTCGTACTTATGCTGAGAAGTGGATAGGTAAAGATTTCAATTTAGCTGCAAATTAATTGTTCCAGTAAAGTTTGATGTTCAACATTAGCTTTTAAGCTTCTTATCTTCCCAACTCTTTAAATATTTGTTTAGAAAATAAAAAGAGAATGCGGAAGCGAAATCGTTTATTCATTTCATTCTTTACTTATTCTTGAAATTCATCTTTCATTGTCGCTTTACTGCTGCAAATCAACAAATAATAATAATAGTATGCAAAGAACATTGAAACAAAAAAATGAAGGTAAAGAGACGAACAGAGAAAAATTGATAGACAGGAAAGCTTTGATCACCTCAACAAAAACCGAGGTAATAAGTGTATCAGCTGCTGATAATATCCGATTATATAATATCTGATAGCTAAAACATTAGTCAGTCAATATGAATGATTACAAATAGTATCAGAATAATAGAAGACAAAATCAATAATGCGAAATACTGCTGATACTTTGATTGTTGAATGAAAAGCAATCCAGGTTCTAATCTACCGATATTTTCTGCCCTTTACAGTGAAAATATAAACTCTATTCCTCCTCTTTATTCTGTTGTGAGAATTTTGCTTTCCATCGAATGCTTTCGGTTGATTGTCCTTTCGCCAAATGTTCCTAAGCTTCGGCTGACCTCCAAACATCGGGTTTATAAATCCCTTTATGACATTATTTACAACATTTCCTTCTCCCTTTATCACTAGAATTCGTACTTTTCATTTTATTTCGAGCTTCAAATTTCGACAAAATTAGACTAATCAGATTTTTTTCCAGCAAAATGTTCATAAAAAACTTAGAAAACAGTGATAAAAGTAGATCGAAGCGAAAAATAATACAATTTTTCAAACAACCAAAAAGAAAAGCCGAGCCATAGTTTGCAATACATAGAATCGAACTACGTTAGCAAAAAATGATTAGCTATATTTCTATTGAGCAATTAGAATTTTAAAATACGACAATTGAGCAGCAATTTAATTAAACACAACAGAATTGTGATACAAAAATAGGGAAGGAAGGAAATTTTCTGGAAAGAACTTTCGAGAAATTTAATACTTTTAAACTACAAACAACGATAAAAAATGTGCTTTTGTTTCCATAATTTTATATTAATCAGAGAAATTACAATTTAGGAAATACTTACGGAGACATTTTAAAATACGTCACCTAAAATAAATTACGTTAACACTTAAAAGCTAAATGACCCGATTTTCACGAGGTTTTTGGACGTTGAAAAAAGTGCACAATTAGTATAGGACGATAGTTGATGGATCAGAAACAAAATATAAGTGTTTAGTCAAGACAAATATTCAAATATGAGAAAAGAAACTTCTACTCAGTTCCTTTCTAAAGCTATTTTATCACTCTTGTTATTTAGAAGGTTTACAGAAACGTAAATTTCACACTATTCTAGCAATAATTTATATGATTCTCTCAAATTTCTAGCAGAAAGTGCTGTGAAAAAACTTCAAATCTAAAGGAGATAATACAGATGATAATAAGTAATATCTGCAACATTTTGTTCTGAACCGGATTAATAAGATAAAGCTGAAAAAGTGCTAACTTTTCTTTTTCTGCGTTGCCTACACTGTCTTTCTTTTAATTTCCTCTTCTCATCTGTATTTTTAGTTTTTCTAGTTTTTCGAAACTTTGCAAAATCCATCAATGCTGATGGATCTCGAAAGGAGTTCCAAAATCTATAAATAATGTGACTAGAATTTTCTATGATTAACATCCTAGAATTCGAACAATCGTCAACTGATATGGTTCGAATTCAAAGCAGTCGCTGGTTTACTTGAGTGTATCAAATTGCGTAACGAATTATTCTGTGATGTTGAATCGCGTGATTCCTCCTTTTGGTCAAAAATACGATATTCCGGATTGGTCATGTACCAGTGCAGCATCAAATCATACAAGTATTTATATTCATCCTGAATCATATGTTGAAAATTACATTACTGACATTTCATCAAGAATATTTTTCAGAATTGGAATTTTTATTTGCAAATGATTCTTATAGTTTAGATGTCTAGAAATCAAATATAAGCTATTTTTAATTATTAAACTTCATTATATAATTGTCATAATAGGCCATCACACCTGTTGTTCCCTATTCTTGTGATTAAAAGAAAAAAGAAATTGCAAAATAATTATTTCTACAATTTTGAATTTGAAAAGATGTTTGTATTTTTGCTTTCGAATTATATTCACCTCTTACGCATCCAAAATCCTATGTCATCGACTTAACTTCATTATAAATAGGCTATTACCTTTCACAACAACTTGCTAATCCAATAAACGATAACCACTAACTGTAATTTTATAAAATGGAAAATTTGTAAATTAATAAACTAACTCTGTCAACAAGTTGTGGCCTATTCATTCGAATTAATTTGACAGCATGAAAGACATCGACTTCATGATCCATATCCATCTGATCGATACACACATTAGCAGCTATATAAATGCCACAGCGATTCACACCATTGCTGAAAATAAATTTTTCAAAAAATGAAGCACCTACCGAAAAAACATAGGAAAACATGGGAAAGGATTTGTGGCCTAGTTCAGAGGTCGGTCATTTTAAAAAGGAGCATATTATTTTACTTGAAGTATTATTTTACTGAGGCAGTTTCAATAACTGGAATTTCAGGAATAACTTGGACTTTAATTCTAACCAGTGAACTTTAAACTTTCAAAATGAATGGCAAACGCTTTCGAATACAAACAAGAGAAAAGAATGAGTTGTGATTCATATTGCAAGTTTTGAGCTGGATGAAATTGTTTTGAGTTAAAGTTTGATTAAGTTTCAGCATTTAATGTACTCCAGAATATTTTCCTTCAAACAAATTGACTTCTTAAAGTTCAGTTTTCTTCTCAAAAACTTGTCTTCAACTTTTTTTGGTAATTTAAAATTATTAACTATAGAAATAGGAAGAATGTATACTTACTGCGACATAACAATAGTGGGTTTTGTTTCTGGCCGTTCTGGAGCACGTTTCCGCCAGCTGCGCGCCATTTTTATCATATCAATAAGACCAGATGTTGATGATGGTACTTTGTTTTCAATTGGCCACATTCGGATCTAAAGGTTTTCTGAAGTGAAATTAAGAAATATTTCAAAAATTTGAAGTCAAAAAGTGATTCATGAAATTGCCTAGACTTTAAAAGATAATCGAGATATGCCATAAATTGCAGAAGTTAAATCGAATCAAACCTAAGGTGCATTTACTCTGATTCATCCTCATCCATTTTTGAATCAAGAATTTGCATTGATCAGGTTAGAAACTGTTAATTCTACTGATTAAACGTACAAGTTTATCTTCCCTTATTGCCGAGGAAATTTTGAAAGTGGAGATATGGATAAATCAGACCTTAAGAAATAATTCCTGTTCTGATAAGTACTTTACTTAAGTATTAGTACCTGTATAACACAACATATCCTAACTTCGGCTTCCAGCTGCTGCTGATTGGTACCGTTTGCCATTACTTCTGAGATCATAAATAACTGAAAATGTGTATAAAGTAGAAATGAAATTTCCAGAAAAAAAAGAAACAAATCAATATTCTAATTAAAAATTATAGCTTCTTGGCTGAAATGTTTTGAAAAATTTTTATTTCAACAATTTCGCCGTAATATATTCAACAACGTTTGCATAATTAAGTTGTGAATTGTTGACATAAATACATTGAGAGTTAACGATTTGTTAACAGCAATGATATTTACTTCAATTGACTATCAAACGTTCACTTCATTTAATCATCAAATGTTCCTTTTAGTTAGAGCAGAGTGGATGGAAAAATACAGTTAATACTAATAATATCAAACATAAGGAAAACAAAGAAATCGGTTTCTTTCTTTCTTTTTTAAATTTAAATAACATCAAAACACTTAATTCAGACAAAAATCCAGGTTAAGAAGACAAGGAAGGATCAACGATATACACATTTGAATGGGGAAAAAAAGGAAAAAGACAAAACGTGACAGAGAAAAAAAAACGAAACGTGACAAAACGTTTCCATTCATAAATGACGTAAGGTTTTCCTTGAAATATGCATATCCTATCTTGATTTTAAGTCAAAAACTGTAGCTTTAGCGATTCTTCCACTCTCTGACAATTTTCATGTGTGATAAAGAATCTCTTGATCTCTGTAATGTATAAGCTTTTGAAAATTTTCAAAGTTCCTATTATCACTTTATCCAACATATAATAGTATTATTGCAGAAGAATTCAAAAGCTGGTATAATTGCATTCAAAAAATTAGAATTTTGACAACTCTGCTTGAATAAAGTCAATGAGAAGTTGCGCTTCTTCTCAACCAAAAAGAAATTTACACTAAGTAAATGCACCAAACAAAATTTGTTCGGAAATCAGAAAAACGAAAAATAAAAAATAAAGAAATAGACATTCTTTTTGTGAACAAGAATGGCTTAGGTTGCATAAAGGCAAAGGAACATATTGAAGAAGCAAAAAATGATGAATCATCTTTCTCGCAGTTCTCAGATTAGATTGCTGATTTCAAAGACATTTGCATATATAAAGATTTCTAATGTATTCTAATTATGCTCTAAACGAAACCAACATTAAAACACTTTTGCTACCTCTCAAAAAGTTCTAGAACACACCTTTTTCATAATCTTGACCATATGAGAGGTCATGGATGGATACTGATGGTGATTTAAAATTTCAACAATAAAAGGCCCGTACGTATGTTTTCCTCTGTTGTGTAGGAATATTGGATATGCCTGAAACAACAGAATTGCATTCCAATGAAATGTTCATCTTGGCGATAAGAGAGAAGTTCATAAAAAAGGGCTTATCAGATTAACTAAGAAGTTGAGTTGGAAATATAATACTGATTTGTCATTTTTCTTTAACCATCAAATTTTCAATCTTTTTAAAATAGATTTGTAAACAAAGGCTTACTCGAGAACGTCCCCGATTACTCAAATTAATGATGGTATGGCAACTGTGATCGAAAACCAACGTCCAAAAACTGTCCAATGTTGAGTTTTTCGGCCACTCTGTTATGATAAATTCATTTTTTCGTTTAAAACCATCCACTTCAACTGCATTAATGTAAGTGTAATCTTTGCTTTCACCGTGTAACGTTTGCAGATACGGCCGAGCGTGATCAGCTGTAACTAAATCTGCATAAAAGCAAAAAAATATCACACTTAAATGCGGTAAAAAACACATACTTAAACTTCTTTCGAAGTTTTGAAAATATAACTTTAATTTTCAAGTGCCAAATTAAGGGCTTTAATTAAAAGAAAATAAATAACTCATGCGTGGAAGAACCTACGCGGTACTACCATTACGTCTCGGTTTTTACCGCGATTCTCTAACCGATGACCACCAGCACAATCACCTATCCTCAATGTAGGCGTCAACATCACTAGTAACTGTAAAATATTTGTGTCATTGAAGGGAATTGAAGTTTGGCAAAAGTTTTCAAATCTTCCTATCAAAATCTTCCTAAATTTTCTAAAATTCGATGCAAAACTGCTTGAATGATTCTTGTGTTCTTGAGAAGAGAAAAGAAATTCCAAAAATCTTATTTACCTTAGCTTCATTAGCAACCTGTGCTTCCATTACCTGACGATTCTTCTTGGCTTTGTACATGCTACTCCTTTTCTTCAATTGCCACATTTCAATTGGTTCAATGTTACATAAGATTGCCTAAAATTTTTCTGATATGATATTCAGTGGATGCTAAAATGACGAATTCTGTATTTGCTGCATCTAAAAAGTGAGAAGAACCGAAAGATAATTCAGATACAAGTCCTGCGGAGTTAAAGTTCGTACTTTTCAGATAGAAAGCGAGTTGGAGATTAAAGGTGTTCTTCTAGCTAACAGCAACCAGTCGTAGCATTAATTCAGATTAAAAAAAAAGGTTGAGAATTCACTTTAGTTAGACCAACCTCAGCAAGGGCGTCATAAATGAATTGGTATTGATCTACAGAATCGATCAAATGAGGTCGAGCATTAATCAGTATTTTACCATACTCAAACACATCAATCTGCCCTGTCTTCTTTAAAAGCTCCAAATTTGCATCCAATGACAAGAACGCGCCACTGCGACCACCACCGTTGCTACAAAGAGTAATTGAGTGTATGACAACTAAATTTTTTTCTTTTTTTTATTTTTGGTTAACTTTTCCAAAATTTCTATTTTAATTTCACATTTTACTTTAATTAGCACGTATTTAATTTCCTGTTATTTGTAAGCCAGTGCTAAGAACTGCGAAATTCCAGCGACAGGTATTATTTGTGTTAAAAAAAGAAATGGAAGTTTTCATTTTAAGAGGCATAATGATGAGCAGAACAATTTTTGGTTGTAAACTTGATTGAAAAATAAAAATAGCAAACTGACAGATTCTTCGGTGCAGCTGGCAAAGTTGGGTGCATAAAACGAAAAGTAGAAGAATAAGGGGCACGCGTTACTTGCGTCTAATTCGAACCAATGGAATGGTTCTTTCTAAAGTTAAATCAATCTTGAAGAATCAATTTTTTTTCGAATAATATCGAAAAATATATTTCTAAATTCCTGCATAATGGTAAGTCATGACAATAATTTTACACGTAGTTTAGGTGGCGCTGCAAAATTAAAAATGTTATTTATTCAATTCCGGACTAAAGCGATCTGTTTCTGATTATTTTGAATCGATAATTTGCAAGATATCAAAATCAAAATGTGCTCAGTTAAAATTTCAGAAGAACTTAAAGAACTATCAGTAGAAAAGTCTTGCTTTCCACAACTCATTTTCCTGCTACAATCAGAAGTTGAATTTCCAAAATTTCTTTCATGTAGAAGACTACTATTAATTATTAGTTCCCCTTAATTATAATTGATTTGACTTTCAAATAAGTTTGAAGTTTATTTCGTTTCGATGACACCATGGGCAGCAATCAATATCTTTTGAATTTGAACACGTACTGCTTTCTTTTTTCATTTGGAAAGGAAATTTCCCCATCTTTGTGAGTTCAAAAATAACCGATATGCAAATTTCGAAGGTATGGTATTGGGTCTCAACCTTCTGCACTACCGGAAATATGTCTGATGACCAAAATCAAGAAAATACCGCGCTACGTGCCTTATGTGGGTGGAGAATGAGAAAACAGGTGATTCCGGTTCTAACAAACGTGACACCATTTCATCACTTCTGTTATTTCTTTGTTCCTTTATTTTATCCTTCCGCTAGTAATTGATAGAATTAAAAGATGGGTGGAATTAAAATTAAAAGATAAAAGATGATTGATGAATTAAAAGTTAATCGGTTTAAGTTTAATTTAATGCAACAAACCTTATTTAGTATTTAAAAAGCCGATAAATTCGACGTCCATAAGACCGAGTCGAAAAGATGGATTCTAGTTGAATAATAATTTTATTCTGTTGGAGATAATTCGTTGTGAAAAGAAATAAATCTTTTCCAGAAATGAACACTACAAGGAAGAATAGAAAATATAATTTTTTCCTAATCTTTCGTACGTTATGTCAAGTAGATAAGTGTATAAAACGTTTTAAAAGGTCTGCTAAAATTTTAAAATTGATGAGTTTTCAAAAAACTAATTCTATATTTTCAAAATGAATATCTAAAACTGAGCTAAGTTTCGCCTTCCCATAAGTTCTTAGGTAGGTTTTGACAGGAATCATTAAAATGTTTAACCCTTCCCATAAAAGAATAATTTTATAAGAAAATTTAACAGATGTGAATTCAAAATAGAATGAAGTGAGCAGAAGCGCCCAGAACTGCTCTTTTGATACAATTAAAAGCCAACAACGCATCCTTATAAAAATAAATTATTCTCTCCCTCCTATCACTCTTATACTTCTTTTTCTTGTTTTCTGCAGGCTATCACATATTGATAAAAAAGATGTAATTAAGGCCCTCCTCCATTCCCATTCATTTTTTGTTTTTATTAGCTTTCTTTTTTGCAACAAAATAGAAGAGAAGAAATTTTCTGTCTTTCGTAACTAAATTTTTCATTTTAAATTTTTTTTTTAAATTGTCTCTTCAATCTCTTCTTTTTGCACATCTCTTTTGGAAAGTACTCCTAATAAACAGTTCTGAATAGAGTCCTATTAAGAAGAAAGCTGCCATCTGTATTTTCCATTCCTGGAAATAGAGACCAGAAGTGGAAACCCTTCGACACGAATTTTAACAGCAAATGCAAATAATAAATTGCAAAGAAAAAAGGGTCAGATTTATTTGAAATAGGATAACTTAGAAAGAAAGAGGTCAGCTCCCAAAAAAATCCTGATCTTTCCACTTTTATCTCATCTATTCTAATTCCAATTCGGATATTAACTACATTTTAATTCTTATGAAAAATTATTGAACAAATGCAGAAATAAATTTTATTTGAAATGAAATATGAAAGAGTTCACTGAATTTCATAAAAATACGATAAGAATTCTCCTCAACATATCCTATTGACAGTACCACCGCAAAATATTGTTTACACAATGTATGTTGATTCTTTATGCAGGCGCAACTGGGTCTGATAATGCTAAAGAGCTGCTCAAATTAACTGTAAAAAATGTGTCTTGAGACGTATGCACGTAACAGGATCCTTAGTAATCTATGTCATTAAGAATTAAACCAAAGTTCGCACAATATAATTTATAGTGAAAAAAATGATACGTAAAAACAAGGGATTGCATGAATTAAATTTTAGACTTTAAAAAATGCAAGGAAAGTTAAGGCTGCTTAATTTCCATATCCGTCATCCTTTTGTCCTAAATATTTCCCCTGATCGATTATCTTGTATATTTAAACAAAGCAACTCTCATCGAATAACTTTTAGTACTTGAATACAAGTTCGGTTTTTGGCATGGAATATCTGAACATAGATAAACTGTGTTCGATGAATTCTGTGCCAGGAATCGAACTTCTATTCAAATGCCAAAGGTTATTCGAAACTCAGAGCCCTGTATTGTTTATTTTCCTTCATCAGGTCTTTTTCCTCAAGTGTGCATTGTGAAATTTAATTTATAACTTTGAAAACGACATTTTTTGAAATATTAATGACTGTAGTTAGTTCAATTAATTAGTGTTCGGAAAAGGAAACGAAAATAGTACAGTAGTGAGCTGTCACTAAACATTGGAAAAACAATTAATTAGAATAATTAACTGAAATGAATTCCCTGCGTTGGAATGTCAAATTTCTTCTTGCACTATTCATGCATTTCATTACTTTCGAATTGTACATAGCAAATATCATTTCAAGTTCAACTTAATTGAAAGGAAATAATAAAACGTTGCTGCTAACAAATTATCACTAATTTCTAATAAGAGCTTTTTATGAGAACAGAAAGTATCATTCATCTAACAATGAATAAATTAGGTAGGTAACAACTGAGATATAAACCGTCTAAATCATTTTCATGCTATTATACATCCTACTGATATTGGAAAATATATTTGAATGGGATGTTCAGCACCAAATGTGCAATTATTTTCCCTAGTTTATTCACAATACTAAGAAGCGATGTTATACTTAGGGAGCATATTGAAATGATTTACAACAAGAAAAAAGAAATACGAAGAACAAAGGAATGGTTAATTAATTTCCGATCCATCAAATCAATTAATTACACGAAGAATGAAAAGGACGAAAAGGTACAATTACTTACCAGCTAGAATGTATATTGTTAAGCTTCAAACTGGCTGGACTATAAAGATAGCTTAAATTAGGAAAAATTAAGAATCTAAGTTGAAAAATTTGGAAGTTACTTCGATACTAATTTATAAATATACAAAAGTTACCTATACTCTATGCATTTGAAATTTATTCAAGTGGAACAATTTTTAGAAGGCAAGTTAAACGCAAGTGAGCATATGACCTATCACAAGCCAAATCGAATCTTGCGAAACAGGAAGAGTTGCATATTCAGTGGGACGATTCAGGATGGCAAATTTGGACGAAGTGAGAGATAAATTGTGCCAGGATAAATGCAACGAAAATTTACGACTCAGTATTGATATGGTCAAGGTAAGGTATTTCGATGGTAACTTTGTGCTAGCAGAGCGCTACCTACTGCATTATTTTGGCGGTAAATTCTGGAACTTGTGGAGTTCTCGAAAATTATGTTTTCACAAAACTGATAAATAGAAACAAACAAAGAGCTGTTTTTATATTGCAAAAGGGATTGAAAAAGTCAGAAAATCGGTTGATCAATAATGCCACCTATAGAGTGAACCAAAAATCCTACCCACTCTTCCTAATCTTAATTTCCCAAATGTTTCGATCCAGAAAATAGCAATCGTTGTTGCCCCATTCATTCAGTTGGAACAAAATGGCTATAGCCATGAACAAAAGAGAGCAGAAGAGAGTGCGTGACCTGAATCCTCAAACAAATACCGTAGCATACTGCTATTATTTTCAGGTTCACATGGCCTTTTACAGTATCAGTGTACTTATCATTGGTGGATGAAAACGATCCGCGATTGTTCTGTCGTCTGGATGATCGGCATAGTTGGTGCTCAAATGGTTGTGATTTTACGGCACAATTCAACGTAAATGATTTCATTTGCAAGGATCATTATAGTAAGTGTCAGTTTTTTGCTTAAAGAAAGGTATCGAAAAGTCATTAGCAGTTAAGATGTTACCGATTACAAAGACTGATGTAAGTTTAAATCTTCACATTTCTTTGTAAATCCTAATAGTTTAACAAACAAAAGCAGAGTCACCCTACTTGTCATCTTTTTTCGAGACACTGCTAGCTCAATTGATCCTCACCTTGGAATCTATAACTTAGAAATCTCTTTCTCTGACTGAGAGGTATTACAAAGTTGATTTTGAAACAGTAATGCTTTGTTGGTACTTTACAGATGACTTATTTACTACCCTATTGTAGAATGCACTATCAATATCAAGGTGCGAATGTGGCGCAAAAAGATGTGATCCTTATAACGATAACATAATTGATGGTGAGTATTGTGCCATTGAGTAATGGAAGGAACATCTTCCTCCACTGGTTTTGGTACAAACAAGGAAATTATGATAATAATCCCTATGTCTTTTGCTTATAAGGCCAAAAATAGGCTTCATTTTCAGGGCGTACACATCGATATCATTTGCTGATATGTGATATCGATTGTACAATAAATGTACTCATTCGACAGTGTACTAACGAATACGGTCAACGAACCGCTCATTTTATCATGAATTACATAAGCGAGCAGGTAATTTTCAAGCTTTCCAACTTTATTGAGTTATATTTCTCTGAATTCCCACTTTCTTCGAATAATATTAGTAATTTGCCAATAACAATGAAAAATTGTCCTTTTCTTTTCTCCTATTGAACTTTCTATTTCCGTTTTCAAATTGTATTTTATTTTTCGTAAAATGAAGACATTTTCAGTCATGAAAGCATTAGCTCTCTTTTCCCCTGACATATCAGTAAGAGGAACTAGTATATATGGTGCGAAAAATAGTTGTTCAAAAATCTATTTTATTTTTAGTTATCGTTCTGGATGGAAAATTTAGTAAAAGAATCAAATGTTACAATCGGAAATTTGATTGTAACAAAACCACCCACATCGTCCAGAATTTTCTTCCATAAACTTGATCTCCGTCGATACTTTTTGTAGGAAAGAATAAAAAATGTTTGCTCATTTAACTGGTGGATTTGGCTTTCAACTTATCATGGTGATAAAGATATTCCTTTAGAAACCATAATATTTTACAAAAGGCACAAAAGTTTGCTTCGAAATTTCTGCCTTTTATTTTTTGGAAGATCAAAATCCGTAGTTCCAAAAATTTTGGAATGTGACCTCTGCCAGTGATATCGTCCAAATTCTAGACCCACAAGTAATTCGAATGTTTCATCTTTAAAAAAGTAACTGTACTTGACAAAAATAAGCAAACCTGCAATGTACAACAATTGGTGCGTCGGCACGAAATTTGTCGGTGTACTGGCGAACTCGTCGACGTAATTCAATAAAGGCGCTAATGTACGGTAAACTGTCCAGCTCCCACTCAGTAAAGTGAAAATGTTTAATAACACGAGTTTGCTGACCCACATCCGAATCCGATTTCGACAACCGCAATGTGCGGATGATCTAAAAACCCAGTATCTATTAAATTTTTTTCAATTCACATAAGTGACATAGCTGGAAAAATTGTTTAGACCTATGGATAATGGAATTTCTAGAAACTTGATCTTAGAAAAAAGTACAAAGATAATTTGAAAGCGGTCGATGATTCTTTTCCGAACTCTTTATCAGTCTGATATCAATATTTTCAAAAATTTGTCGCTTAAATTCGTCTGAGGTAAATGAATTATTATTATACGAATCTCATAATAGCAAATGAGACGTATAATAATTGAGCTTATAATTCAATTTCAGTCACTCACAATCTCCCAAAAACATTGTCAAACTAGCATGAATAGTCTCTATTTTTTTTGTTTATTTCTGCACTTACAAAGTGAGCGTAACTTTTGGTCTCCAATGTTTCTACTTCAATTTGACCATATTCACTGGAAGTAGCAGGCCAATACTGAAGACACATAACCTATAATTATATTTATTTTGAATAAAAAAGATTTGCCTTTTTGCCATAAACATTAGACAAACCTATTGTTATAAATTAAATGTCCAACACCTTTTTAGGACAATGATCAGCAAGTAACAGTAGCCTCAGAATTAACTTAATTCATTTAATTGGAAAATTATTAAATGCTAACTAACCCGCATAAAATCAAAAACTTTAGTTAACATAACAATACAATTCGACCCAAGCTCCCAAATCAATCTCCAAAATTCCGCTATTGCGGGTTTCGTCCTGACAGCTTGCGTTACAACATAAGCTTTCTCACGCAACCAACTCTGAAATGAAGGAACAGTAGCAAAAATAATATCAATTATTTATTTTTTAATTTCTTACTTAAACACCTCACCTCCTTTTTACTTCTTAATATTTACTTATTTTACATTTCATTTCGATTTTTTCAAAGACTGAAAAAGAATGAGCATATAAAGACTATTGTTGGACGAAACATTCCAAGCGCACCTGTCTGGCTTGAACAGGAAAGCCGACGAGTGCTGGCAATTTTCGAGAGGTGTTATTATGTTCGCCTTTCTGTTCTTTCTTCTTTAGAAAGGAATAATTTTAGCTCTCAAAAATTAGGAAGGAGTGATAGTTCATTGAAGGGTTTCACGAAAGAATTCATCTTCTTTGTAGCAATCAATTTTAATCAGGGAAGACTTGGAGTAACGCCGAGAAATTAGATGGGGATAGGCGGTAAAATTTAGTAGGGAATATTTTGCAGAAAAAAAGGCTTAATAACTTTCATTGCTTAGTTTTCACCTCAATGCAAAAGTTTAGATTTCGAATTTTAGAATTCATAATGTTTGGTAGAAATATTAACATTTTGAAATAAAAATGCAGTTATAAGACATAAATCGATGAAATTAGAAACAAACATTAACGTAGCTAGCATTAGCGTAATGTGAATTTTTGTCGCCAGGGAGCTTACGCAGTATAACACGATTGTAATCATACGGCAGCGTATCGGGAAACTGATTACGGCTCGCCATTGCCTGACCAATATCACATCGACATTTGGCCGGATCCACCGAGCGTAAGATCATCTGCAAATTTTCAGTATTTCTCCCCTAATTTGCTTAACAACTGGGCCACTTACCTCGTAAGAAAAAAGAAAGACTGTAAGATGGCAAAGCTTATGTTATCTATTCGAGAGTAGATGATAAGGAACAGGTTTTATGAGATAGAGGGACTGCTGACGAACTTACATATACATCAGCAATAAGATGACAAATGCGCTTGTTGCTTGTGCAATGTGTCCTTTCAAGAAACTCACAATATATTCGCCTTTAAATAAAATCCTCTTTTTCCTTCGTTCGGTAACGTATGCAACAAATTTGGAAGCATCAATAGGCGCTGATGGTGCTGCTTGCATCGCTTTTTCTTCTTGCACTAAAATGAACATGATTTTTTTGACTTTGCAGTAATCAAAAATTCAAATTCTTTTAAACAGTAGAAATTTTTGCTTCACTTTTTCGATTCTATGTTAGGAAGAGTTTTTTGATCACTTTCAATATCGAGAAAGAGAAGAAGAGACTGACAGATTAAAAGTGTAATAAAAAGAAGTAAATTAACTAGTTTCCTTTTTTTGATTTAATTGGTCAAAACTGTCAAAAAACAGCGATTTTGCAAATTAATGAATTAAAATTTCGAAAAATAAAATTACCAATTCCTTCACAAAGTTAAATTTCTCTTTTTAACGAGCAGCATCACATGGAGGGAAATTCAATTCACCAACGACTACTTCACAATTCTAAACTAAAGCCTCAGTGGTTGAAACAACTACATACCATTCATTCATAGAAATTCCGGTTAAAAGCCGAAACATAATGGTTTTCGGTAGTTAAACAAATAGACTTTGCAATGAGAATAATTCGAAATCATATAAATGATAAAAAACAACCGTAAACATTTCATTAAAATGTTTTTGCTCAAAAGATATGACTGCTACTTTTCAATGGATAAAAAAAATGAAATGAAATTATTAACAGAGATGAAGAAAAGTTGATAAAGTTAGTCTGTTTGATATGAAATTTGAGCTAAAGCTGCTGGAAATATAACGCTTAATTAAAAAGTAAAAATAAGATATATGAGAGGAATAAGAATGCTTATTGCAAAGCGATACTATGAGAAACACAGTAGTGGATTGCTGTGTCCTTACTAAAAAGAACGAAATCGCTGAACATTCCGACAGCAATTTGTTATCAATAAAAAGTTCCCTCTCTTGAACCTTCCACTGATAACTTATGTAATTCATAAAAGCTTTATGTGATAAGCTGTGCTTCAAAACCTCAAAATTAATCAATAACCTTTAACAATTTATTATGACACAGTAATTTTCTTGAAAATATTATTGTCCAAGTGTTATGTTTCTTCTTTACTAACTGCTGTATAAGGATTCAGTTCAAATGCAACAAGACAATGTAATTTCGATGATTACATCAGTTTTATCTCAACAAAATTTCAAGATATTCCAAATATTACATGTCTCAGTAGCGATGATGCACAATTGATGATATATGTGACATGACGTGACGTGACGTGACAGTTTCATCCATTCTGTTAGCAAAGAAAATATTTGAAGTGTATCATCTCTTGAACTCTTAGATGCTCTATACAGAATGTCTCATATTCAGGCTTATTTAATAACAAGTTTAGGCCAAAAATTCTATAAACCAATATCAAATGATTCTCATAATGACCAAACTTGACTCAACATATGGGAACATTCTTTTCATTTATCATTTAAATATATTCTGCCTTACGTCCAAAAAAATCTGCAGTTTGGGTTTTCGTAAAAATAGACTAAAAATAGACGTAAAAATAGACTTTCAAACATCCACACACAACACACACACACACACACATGCATACGCACACATACACACATGCATATACACACACATACACACATATACACACATACACACACACACACACACGCATGCACACAAAGAGTCCTCTATTCTTTGCCCGGTAGTTAAAATTTTTATGCAAAACATTTTTGTGCTTACAGTTCATCATGATGAGAAAGCATTGAAACGTAATGAAGCAACAAGTAAAGAGTTTTGATCAAATAAAAATGATTGTTTTGAGAATAATGGCTTTAACAAGTTAAGAGGTGACCAATCAGTAAAAAGTACAATGTAGTCAGTCATCTTAATGGACAGATGAAAAGTATTGGTAATACCAATTAATGTTTATACTTACAGGAATGAATTATGAAATGGTGAAAAAATAAGGAGTTCGCAGTAAAGTAATATTATTTTAATGCTAGATGGTTAGACATATTTCCGAACCAATCGATATGCATTTGTAGTAAAACTACTGGACATGACAACTTTGCCATAGGTGCAATTTCTATATCATAAAATAATTATCTTAACCATCTAACGTAGTAATTCGTTCCACTGTTGACATGTTTCAATAATCTTTACTCATTGTTTAAATAGAATTTTCATATTGGCAAAGTTAGTCAAGCATTAGTCCACTTTTCCTTTTCTTCGTATTAGTAATATGCAATATGGTCTTAATTGCATGATTGATGACAGTGATCGGTGATGGAAATCATTGAACATCATCTGTAATTCAACGTCATCTAAATGCTTCGATTTCGGTCATCCTCGATTTTTGACGCAATAAAAAATAATAGGCTTGGCAGATCTATTTACCTTAGGATGAACTAAATTTCAGTCAGTACCTTCCATATTGTTCAAAAATGAGATGATGAAATCCTCCAGTATCAGTTTGCTTTTAAGTTCGTCAAGATTTGCATAAACAAAAAGTACTGGGATTAATCAATATTTCTATTTATAGACATTCCGAATGATTCTAGTGGTTGTTTGTAGTGTTGAAACTTTCACTGTTAAAGTAGCGACGTCTACGACTATTAAAAGGTTTGCAATGGGAAACTTTGCTCAGCAAAGGAGAAGAGACATTCAGTTTATTTAAGTCCGTATAAAGAAATTTTTTAAATTATAATTGCTTAGCTTCTTGTTTGGATTTATGCAAATTTATTTCCAAATTAAATGTCAAGCAGAGAAATTTCGAAAAATCTGGGGACTTTGTGCCTTCTCAAAAATCCATCGCAATCCACTGAAACTAACAATTCATTAAATTGAACACAAATAATGACATTAAGAATGATGTCTCTTGGAACAACAAATCTTTATGTTTATTGTTGATTTCGTGGGCAAAATCTACTCGACTTCTTCGCAAATTTTTCTTAAAAGAACAATTTCGTTGATCAAACAGAATAATGGAGATGTATCTTCATTTAGACGAATAATGAATGGTAATGGTGATTCAGGAAAATAATGAATCCACTTTGTAATTTTCCGAGAATTCCAAGTGAAGTATTTACCTAACTTTTCACTCTTTAATAAATTATTAAGCATCTAGACAGCTACTATTTTTGATGTGTGTAATCCCGTTTTCTTTGCAGGATTTTCGACTCAAAAATTCGATACGGCGGAATATTTCCAGTTCTCAGAGGAAAAGTTAATGGTCTGTCTATCTACTGCATGACCAATAAAATCATAGTCACTAATGAATATCAAATTCTATCTTTCATAAAGATGGAAAATTCTTAAACAAATAAGTATGGTACTTTCCGAATTTAATAAATTCCATATAATGGTCGATCTTATAAATTTCTCCAATCTTACAAATCCAGATTATCCTCTTAGCTCCAAGTTTGTCCTTTTTTTTTGGATGGAACAAAGGATTCTGACCAGTATCACTGGACAAAGAACAACGAACAGTTTTCAATGGGTAGTAATTTAAAACGTCTACAAACTTTATTTCCCAATTGTATAAAGTCAAAAAAAAAAAACATTAATTCTTTTGTTGAATACGCCGTACATACTTTCTGCTAATCGTTTCGCATACGATAGAAAATATTCATAGTAATTTGTTCAGTAAAACTGCTAAAATTCATCCTTCCTCTTATTCTTTTATAAATTAGAATTATTTTGTCAGTCTTCCTAAAATTGTTATAATTGGCAACAATGTGAATTCATATTGAAGATGTCAGTAGTGATCGACTGACAACATTAAATGGACATGTCGTTGACAATCAGTACTTATCATTGTTAGCTTCGGTTCTTCTAAGCCACTGCTATCATAAACATTGCAAGTTATCACAGTGTTATTTTGTTTGTGAAAGACAGTATAGAGAAAAAGACTATTCGTGGATAGAAGAGATATTGGCTTCTAGTTTGAAATGGGAGAAATCAGTTATAGTATAAATGTGTGAACAACAGAAATCGATTTAAGAGACAAGTTGCATTTCTAAAGAAGATAAAGTTGAGCTTATTGCTCTTTTTGCCACGTTTATTGGAGTGAAAATATAGCAAAGCAAGAGAACTGACGAATTCATCAAAGATGCAATACATGAAATTTCACTGAATTGTCTCCTTTCCCAAAACCGCCCCAAGAAATCTAATTTGACCATGGGCAGTGATTTCATTTCATCAAGGCATCTTTTTTCCTTCCATTCCTTATCAATTGATAATTTCGTCTTGTGGCATTATTAATTAGAATGTTTATATCATTTTGATTGGATATAAATTAAGTGTTAAGCCTAAGCTTAGTCAATAATTAATATCTCACACTGATCTCTTAATTTTCTATTAATGAGCTACATTTAAGTAGTTTCTGCTACGTAAACATATCCAGTAATTGCCACAATGTGTAAAGCATAGTGCAAAGCACAATGATTCCTGGAAATGTAAAAGAACGTTTCGGGGTTGTAAAGTTTTCTCTTGCACTAACAACTGTTCCATCAATGAAAAGAGTAAAGTTGTCAAAATTTGGCGAAAATTGGCATAAATGAGCGTAGTATAATGAAATTAATTTATGGTCAATGTTTTGTAAAATTTGTAGAAAAAACTCATCAAATATAAAAAGGAAAAATTTGAAAATTTTGGAAGATTTTCATACAAGATAAATTGGCAACGAAGAGAAATGAAATTAAAACATGTGGACATTGATGATAGTTAATGAGAAGAGATTTTGATAATTTAAGTTGTTGTGAAATTTTATGGTGTCAAGTAGAGGGCTCTATTCTTCAGTGGATTATCTGATGAATTAAAACAGTAAAGGAAATTTATTCATTTCCGTGCTCATATTCTTTAAAATTAAAAAAATGATTTGATTAATTACCATATCGTATTTGTTTGTTGAAATGATGCGGTGAATAATTTTGCCACTTAACTAATGCTTTGCGACGTTTTCGCTTTTTCACTGTCGAACCACGGGTCGATTTGGAAGCATTATCACCAACAATAATATCCTCAGCAGCTGATGGAGGTAATGCTCCATGCACTTGTGCAGATCCGGAACGCATTGCTTCTAACACTAGACTTATTTCGGAAGCTGATTTTCGCAAGTTAGACAAAATTTTGGGTACGTATAAGTCACGGAGTGACTCACGAAGAGATTCACCAAATGTCAGTTTTGGCGATGATAAAGTAATGAATGGTGATGAGACTGATTGTTGTTTGGATGGAGAAGCGTTCTGTTGATAATCTGAATTATCTTGATAATAATGGCAGTAATCACAGGATGAAGAACTCTGTTCTCGTAGTTGCAGGTGCTGTTGTTCCGGAGACGGTCCCTCTTGTTGTTTAGCTCCGCCATATTGGCGACGTTGATTTTCTGGGGTTTTTGGCGTAATGGAAGCTTTTTCAACCGAAACCTCTGGTGTCATTGCCATTATTTGCTTCCAGTAATCAGAATTAAGCAAAGTTACTGAACAAAAAATGAATTAAAAGATGGTTTATTTTTTGATTATCGATAGGGAATCAAATAGATCTCCATATCACAAAACATAATCTTTGATCATTACAATCCTTTCAGAAAAGAAATTACAATTGCAGTATGTGGAACAGAAATAGAATAAATATTTTCGTATTGAAGCATATTAATGCGATATTTGAATTCGGTAGCAAAACGTCGTCGATTGATCGCAGAGATAATGCGTACGCAAACCTTCACACATGATGAAGTAGCGGAATGTGAAAGCCAGGCGTAAGCTTTTTTGTCGCCGAAAGAAGGCTAATAAATTAGCTTCTCTCTGGAATTGATGTTTGTTTTTTCTTCAACTTGAAGCTTACAGTCTATGCTGAAGCATTTTCGTTTTCACCCAGCTCTGAGCAGTTGGTAGTAGATCTCTGGTACTGTTTTAACCGAAGAAAATATCTACAGGCAAATTCTATTGTCAGCAAATAAATTTCGAAAATTCAATTATTGAGGCACAAATTTTGAAAACTCAATTATTAGACATAAATTTGGAAAATCCAATTGCCAAGAGCAATTTAGTTATATCAAATATTTAGAAAGATATATTATTGCTATGCAATATGATTTGCCAAACAATGGTAAATAAGGGAACAGTGAAGAGTAGAATCTGCCGATAAACTTTACTTGAACGCATTTAAGACCATTTTTGACATTCAAATAATGCAATGTTGATCAGAGAAAAAAGATTCTCAGTGTTCTCAGTGGATATCAAAAAGATTATCTAGAAAATAATTTTTGTCGCATTTATTTTCTCGAAAAGCTCTTAGTTTAGCAATGAAAATATGCTTTATAGGTATGAAAAGAATCAAAATTGATGACTAAAGAAAACACTTTGACCAGTGGTGTTCCAGCTGTGGATGGTGTAGTCTTCAAAAGAAGAAAAAAAATTAATTGCAATATAGAAAATTAGTTTCTCAAAGTAATGGGGAAACTAATGCGGAGTGAATATCAGTGAATAACTGAATATTTGATCATCCGGAAGAGCACATTAAACATCTGGCGGAAATTTCTGGAATAAAATTCGGTTTGCCGTTCTCAAATCAAAGGAGAAATTTAAAGATCAAGAATGAATATCACTACGTTTAACTAGCGTTATCAAAGACCTTAATTTCAAAATATTGATTAATAATTTTCTCAGAATTCCAGATGAGTTTGGACAGGGATTTTTGAGCAAAGATTGCAAATCTCAAAACGTGATGCATCTATCATTTACTATTTCAAAATTTATTGATTGAAAACAAACTGCTTTAAGAATGACAAACGTAGCAGAAAGATTATGATAATAATGGTTTCGTCTTCCGGAACAAACAACGTCAACAAATAATCGAACAGTCGTCATACTTTGAAGAAAGAACAAACAACAAGCTCACTTTCGTTTTTTTCCAGAAGGAATTACACTTATTAGAATAAGTTTAAATTTCGATCAGATCTCAACAAATTCTTTGAAAGTATTTGTATAAAATACCCAGAAATCTATACGGAAAAAAAATGCAAGTAAAGGCAAGCGGTCCTCTTCTGTCCTAAACATGGATGAGGCAAATATACCAACATGGAGAATGAAACAAACAAAATGTCGCGTTTGGCTGTTGTCAACGATACGAGATAAAAAAATGACTTTAGAGATGCAGTATGACATGTCACCCTCCTACCATGATTAGTTTATTCTAGTATTTGTTACTTTTTTACTGCTTTATTAATAATACTTTATTATTATTACCAATTTTTACCACAATTCTGATCAGTAAGACATTCTTTTGGTTTAACAGATAAAAGAGGATAACAAAGAAAAAGCGCAGAAGAGAAAGGGAACAGGTGACTTTTGGAAAAGTAACAGAGGAAGGGGAAAAATATTCCACCAATAATACATGCCGTTAGCTCTGTTACTCTTTGAACATTCCAGATTTTGAGTCAACCCATCCAGACCGTAAAGTGGCGATAGCAATGTCACAAACACAACTCATTCCCTTTCCTGATATTAGCCATTGCTAACAGAGTGAAAGAGATGGCATCATTTATAGGATTAAAGCTGGATGCAAAGAAGAATGAATTTCTGTAAGTATCAATGAAAAATGATTAAATAATAACATTACAAATGATAACTAAAAAAGTCTGGAAGAGTGTTTAACATGCGAATATCCCATTTGAGGACGCTGATGAAATATTGAAACTGGAAATGGAAAGGGAAGGAAGAGATGAATGATGATTCTGAAAGCACGAACAGCATATTATTACTATTTTGTAAAATTAAACATCATGTAGAGAAAGATCCGGTTTCCGGAAAATGGAAACAATAGCAAGGAAAACATCAACAAGCACAATAACAATATTGAGCGGTTTGAAGATGGAAAGGAAGAAAATCTGGATACAAACGAATTGAAGGGAAAGAGAAGCCGTAAAGTAGGATTCAAAAACAGGTGGATCTAAGGATGTAGGAGGATAGAGATAAAATGGAAAATCTAAACTAACAAGTTAGAGAGTAGTTTGATAGATATCAAAACTAAAGAGGAAACTAAAAGAGATAAAGAACGAAACTGAAAACTTTTGTCTTCTTACTCTTCTGGATTTAACTCCTCTTTCCCTTGTTTTCTTCACCTCTCTGGTGAATGATGTGTTATTGGACCTGATAAAATGTTATTTTGCTGAAGGAAAAAAATTTATGTGTGAGATAAATCCATGAATTGAACTACACAGTTCCTGTTATCACATCATTATTACTATCACTATCACTTCCCTAATCTGCACTCATTATCATTACTAAACTTCCCTCTATTCTCCCCTTCATCCAACTTTATAAACTTCTTCACAGTTTATTTCTCTTCTAATATCCCATTTTTTCTGAAAAAAAATCTGTTCCTTTCAGTCCGCTTATTTGCCTTGTTGATTTATCGGTTATAGCTAAAAAAAATTCTTCAAAGACCGAACCATTTTAGTTCATTCGTTTAGTTCATTTCAAAATTACAATTGAAATAAGCTTACCAGTGGTCAAAGATTATTCCACTTCGGAAACCTTCTCTTTATCAATTTGAGACAAGTAAGAAAGTAGTTAATATCAATAATATGTAGAAGGTTCTTAAATGATTTGATCACTGACATAAGTGACACTAGTGATAAGCATCTTAGAATTTTTTTTAAGTAAAACAAATATTTAAATTGTAGAAGACTGACAGATCAATAAATGTAAAGTTTAGCATTTCTCTCATCTCACCTTTCACTTAGGATTAGAAATGGGAATTGATGATTCAAAACACAGAGTGTGGATAAATGAATCTTAACATTGTATTTCATAACAAAGTTGCTTAATTTGAGGACAGATTTTCTTAAGGCTTCCTGTGCAAATATTTACCTGTTCCGCTTGTTAGATGCATTTGTACTGAATAACGATAGAATATACGTTGGTCCACTCTATGAATTCTCGAAGTATGGCAATTTTTTTCTCAGAAATATCTCAATCAAATTCGAAAAACGACCTTAACAAGCACATCTTTCTTGATTCAAAAACATTGGTCTGTCTTAGTAGATTGCTGGCAAAATTTACAAAAAATAGAGAAACGATTTGTTGACTAAACCGGAAATATTTTTCCTGCTTGTCATAATTTCAATATTTTCCAAAATTGAAAATGATGATTACAACAGTGTGTTTCAGCTTTTTTTTTTGGAAAAATTCTATGCACACCAAACCAACCTGAAACTCTCTATCGAATACTGATTATAGCATTCATCATCGACCGAATTGCTCCTGCTAAGAATCAAAAGTAATTTTCTAATTTCACCGAAAACTGGTTATTCGAATCCACAGATAAATTAAAATGAATGTCGCACAACATATTATCGGCTGATTATTGGTAGTCTCCAATTTGAGTTATTTCATCAAAACATTATTGACTCAAAAGAAACCATAAATATATACTTGGAAGTGTCTAACAATTTGGCGGAATTTTTAAGACTGGAAATGTAGTAAACTTTTGCGAAAAGATAGCCACTGTAGTAAAATTAATTTAAGCAAAAATTTTGCAGAAAATTACTCATTGCAATGGAACTACTGACCTTACACTAACCACAGAATTAGGGTTGGTAGTTCTAATCCTGAAATCATAAGTAGTCTGGAATAGCTATGTCCTGTATTATTTCCTAAAAGCTTTGCAGATGCTTTTATGCAGCGTATAAATTGCATTTAGCTATTACCCCAAAGTTTCAGTCTTCCCAATCACATCCATATGGGAATAATAACAAATTTAATTAATGTGTGAGGAAAGTAGTGTTTTATTATCAGCTGTGGACAATGGAAACATATATTTTAAGTCCATTTTGAATCAATTTATGTTCCAGTGAAATTAGCCAGCAGATGGGTCTTTCATGATATGACAGGCGACAAAAACATAGCAGTAATGTTAACCTATCAAATGATTTCTCTTTTGACAAACAATTGCTTGGATTTCATTTTTTCCTGAATAGTTATAGATTTGTATCAATCAATAAAATCGACAATGTTTAAGAAAAACAAACATTTCCAGAATACAATAAGAGGAAATTGACAATCAGAAATGAGAATTCAGTTGATCTAATATTACAAGTTTTTTTTGTTCATTTGGCTTTGGTCGAGTTGCAACTATAAATGTATTAAAACAATTTGTATGGATGTCACAATGTCACAACTATGGCGATATTTATCAATTATACCAATTTTGCAATTGTAGTGATTCCGCAAGAATTCCGAAGGAAGGACAAATTGATATGGAGGATTTGATTTTACCTAAGACAGATTATTGCCATCATTTCACTTGAACCGGCACATGCAATTAGATATTTTCAAATCCTTTTTAAGTCAGTCTCTGAAGAGGACATTTATAATGTATAAGTGTAACTTCTTCAAAAACAATAACCAATCCTTCCTTTGGATAATTAAGCATTCAAATTTGATGCAAAGAAAGCTATTCATTTTTTTGAAAGATCTATTGTGTAAATTTCAAAGGAAGCATCTGAAAAACGGTGTTACAATGTTTTCTTGTACTAATAAATTTAGGCATTGTCATATTTGTTAGAGAAAGGTAAAATGGATGATCGTGCAAACTTCATGAATGCAACTTAATTTATAATTTCATAATGGCTCGTCCACGTAAGGTTTATTAACGCTCATCCGTTTCTTTTTCTTGAACTTATTAATAGCGCCAACAGCTGAAAGTGCCAATAACACGAAGTGTAATGAAATGGTAACTGCGATGATAAAGCGATAAGGTGATAACCGTGGTGATAAAGTAATAAAGTGATAACTGTGATGATAACTTGAAATGAGTAGTATGCGGGTACCCAAACTTCGTGTATTCTTTGATCTCCGTCACATCATCAGATATTTCTTTAGATTATATTATCTCTCTCAAGTTATAAATAATTGGAAATTGCATTCAATGCAAGATTTGAAAGATGAACACAGGACACCTTTAAGAGACATTCATATTATTATCAATTGAAAGCTGTAAAATGAATTTTCAATGAAGAGCGCTCAAAGATGTCTGTACAGATTGTGCCATTCTCAAATAAGGGATAGCTTCAATCATAAATTGTTTTTCATTTGTGATATCTCCGAAAAAACTTTAACGTACTTTTGCATTATGAAACTTCCAAATTCAAACTGACCACTATTTGGAGAGATAGATTTCTTAAAACTGCAAAAAAAGTGAAACTAAAAAATAGCGGTAGAAATGAAGCACTTTGAGGCATTTGGGGAAGAAGATCAGAACTTATTTTGAAATAGCTTAATAAAGCGTTTGTTCACAAAGCACATACACATACATGTACACACACACACACACACACACACACACACACACACATGCACACACACACACATATACACACAGAAGCAAAGGTTATATCCATCAGTCATTCTTTCCTGATGAAGTTGAATGAAAACAGCCCCAGACCCACTATCTACCAATCTACCATATTTGTTGGCCAGTTTAAAAAACAATGATAAATGGATGATGTAAAATCCAATAAGTACTTAATAGTACCCCCATTGTATTTTTCGAAATAAGAATTTTTCCATGATCTTTTTTTCACGATCTGTTTGGAGCCTATGTAGTTTCAAACAACACTGAAACTCGGAACTCATTTTAAACTGAAAAATTTAGAAATTCTGATAATAAATTAACAACTTTGTAGTGTTCACGCGAAATTTTGAATCACTTTACCAAGCGATAATTAATTCCATCTAATGTGTGATCCTAAATTAAAATCTTATGTCTGATATGGAACTATTTGCTAGTGATTTTTAAACTTGGAAATTTTAATGCTTCGATATGAAGAATTGAAGTTATTCGTTTCCATTATTTTTACTTCGGAACCACAAAATTCCAATGTAGCCCTAAAGGTAAGAAACGCATGCGTAGGCTGTTGAAAGAAGCATATAAGGTTATCATAGGAATAAATGACGTTGGAACTTTTCGGCTCCGTAGTGAAAGTAACGAAAAGTTTAATATTTCACAACTTCTTACCAAAAGACTTTAACTACAAAAAACATTTGCTATCAATACTTATTGAAAACGTTCAATTATTGAGCTCATTAATCAAAATGATTAGCTTTGATGGATGAGAGAGAAGGGACAAGACAGGACAACACAAAGCCAACTATCTTTCAAATTTGACAGCCTGAGTGTTTGCAAAACAACAAACATGCTTCGATTTCTTCTTATACAGTCATAAGGGAATACCCACACTTCGCACTTCGAGAAGTTCAAAGTAATGATGCCTTTATCTATCCAGAATTGGAAATCTAAATTAAGTTGAGATGAAACCAATCGGTCAATCAGTGTAATTTCAATTTTACAATATTTTACAAACGTTGTTTATTCTTATCTCAGAATTTACTTCTCCTCTTTAAAACACCACTCTAAAAGATAGAAATAGTGTGTAGTATGTTCTTTGAGAAGACTAGACTAACCTGAGTGAAGAGAAAAACATTTTTGAAGAATTTGGACATTGGCAGGCAGTAAAAATACATTTCAGAACAAGCAAGAATGAAAATATTTCAGATTTTTATGCTCGAAAAATAATAATAACAAATGATAATTAAGCTTATCGATGACGTCATTTCATCTACCTGTATTTTCTCATTTTAATTTGGAACCCAAATGAACCAAGCAATATTTGAATGAAAAACTGACCTTTTTCTCGTCTCAGTAATTTCATCCGTTGAGCTTCTTCCTTTTCTCTGAAGTAAGTCCAGAATTATTCTTCACCTTCCAAATAATCTTTCTATTGCAAAAGATTAAAGTTTATTTAAATTTAAAAATACTAAACAATAAAAACCGTCTGTAAGAAGATCTGAAATAACCTGGAAAACTACTTCCATCTATGTCAATTTACAAGAATTACTGACTATAATTTTTTTTAAAATAAGCAAAAAAAATTTCATCTTTCAGTTGATACTTTTATCAATGATTTAAATATGTCATAATCCACATCAATTAATTAGCAATCTTTGCTGCAATAAGAGTTCGTGGCTTTATCTTCCAATAAACAAACCATATATTTCCAAGTATTCAACGGAATCTTTAAATTCAAAATTAGAAACAACTTTTACTTCGCGAATTCTTCATTAGGTTCACCATCTACTATAAATTTCCCTCTAAAACTATCCTCTTTTTATAATTTTCAGGAAATAAAAATGAAAAATCAGATGTTAGCGACTGTTTAAATTAATTTTGACTTAAAATGGCTAATTTTTAATCAAATATTTCTTAGTTTCCCCAATTAAGCTAACTTTTTTATTGATTAATTTAATACTCTCCAAATGTTCCTTTATCAAAGTTTGTTTTTCTTCGTTTAAATACTTTCCTTTCAAACTTTCTACTTTAGGAAAAGTTCGTAACAATATGAAAGAAATGGAATGATTGCTTGGTAAATTTTCAAGAAGACAGAGACGTCATCAGCTATTGTTACATCGATGGACTGTCATTCGATTCTGTTTGTCCATTTCTACACATCCATATTTCATCCGTTACGTTTTTTAATAAGATTTCTGTTAAAAGGACTAATCACTTTGATAAGACCAATAAATATCACTTCTTAGCTTATCTTTTCACGTAGAGTTCTGTTTAAAACAACCATTGCTATATTAGCATTTACAACATCTATATTTTATTGATTTGTAATTATTGGGCAGGTTCATGTCCATACTTTCATCCTTCAAGTACTTACATCCAGTTTAAAGCATGAACGTTACTTTTAAAACTTTTCGTTACTTTTTTGCTTTCTCAATCAAAATCCGTGCATTTGATCTGAACCTAAATTAGCTGGTTACTTTCCTTAATTTATTGCGTCATATGTCAGGCTAATTGTTAACTCATTATATATCAATACTTATTAGACCATCATGAAAATGTGCTGCAAATGGCAAACTTCACTGCTTCGCCCAGGACTTAAGAATTTATGCAGTACCTAATAGAGTTACCTTTTACAATTGCTCCCTTATTATTTTGTCTGTCCCACTGTCGCCAGATCTCCCATTTTGGCATGTTTATATTTCCTATTGCTTTGATACAGTTCGTTGTCTGATCATATGACGGTATTTTCAGTTCGGTGCTTATGCTTAAGTTATGAAAGACAAGATTATTACTGAATATAGCTTGTTGTTCTCATTATTGATTTATTTCCTTCAAATACACTTTAACATATTTTAAAAAGTTTTTTTTTCTTAAAAATTGGTAGTCCAGTCAGTAGTGAAATTCTAAATTATCAGTTTTTGCTTGATGGCAACTAATCATTTCTACCTACCAAAATAGAAGTATCTCAAAAATCTGCAACTTCTGATAAGCTGATAACATCCTGAAAACAAATGAGGTAAAGTTCTTCACTTATGATAAAGACACAATGTATTTTTAATAGGCCAAAAACAAAAGACATGATAGATTGTGCTGCTCAGTTGACGATACGGTGATTTGGTAGATTGCGCACAAATTTTTTACAATATTTATAGTTATTGTAGCATATTTGACGTCTTTTTTCTATTTCTTAAAGTTTTTATAAGTGGTGAAGTTGTAAAAAATGAGCAAAACCAGTTTTGCAACTTGTCAGTTAACAAAGCGCAATTAATTGTGATTTTGAGACATCAGAATTTTGAAAAAAAATGATTGAAGAGATGCGAAATAGATAGCAAGTAACAGAATTGAGAAGGGAAAGTGACAGTACGGGAAGAAGACATTCAATCATGTTTGTTCAAGGGTCCATAATATCTGAAGTCGTGATAAGTGATTGTAAGTTATGAACTTTGTGATGAAAATTTACTAAATTACTATTAGTGGTAATATCTGAGTTGCAGATTTTCCCAAATGAGAAAGAAGTAAAGGGAACAAATCAATGTTTTAAGCTTTCTGGATCCAAGATTATTCAATTTTTCTCATCGAACTTTCGATTCTATTTTTCAAAATTTGCTTGGAAATTCTTACTGTTTCAAATTCAAGCCGTAAAGCATTGAACGAAGTGATCGATATTTTGATCGTTTTTTGCTTGATTTCCGCTTTTGATCACTTGCTAAGCCCACATCGAATGAAAACTCTCTTTGTGACTGTCTCTTTTTATGATATCGGCTGCCGCTTGATCGTGATAACTGACAAATTTATTGTATTTTGTGAAAAGTAGCAATATAAAATAATCCAAAACAAATATATGAAACAGTTGGTTAGCAATTAATTATACATAATTAATCCCGGTGATTGTTGACATTTCCCTACTGTTCATAAATTAATAACAGTCATTTACTTCAGTTGCCTATACGATAAAATGTTCGTTATGAGTTTGTGTAACTTAATTCCTACCGAAGAATTGGAAAAATCAATTTTTTCTTTTTGTAATCCTTATTTTATCCCTTAAATGTAACATGAATCAGTCTTCTAAAAATAATTAATCAAAGAATTACCAGGGATGAGAATATCCTTCGTGAATGTAATAAACTCTTTCCCGTCATTGTATCGCCATCAAGCTGCGATGATAGATACATTTGTGAGTATGAGAAATGCTGAAATGTTTATTATTTCAAAAACTTTCAACTTTACATTTGATTTTAAACAAAATTTTCAACAAAATTTTTGTATCTTTTCCTTTAATTTAAACACATATTTGTTTTTAACTTGTAATTTAAATTAACTAAACAGCGAAAAGAAGATCAAAAACTGCATAAAAATAGAATGTTTTTTATTCGTAATAATTTCTTTTTTTAAAAAAAGTGAAGTGGAAAAGTTTGGACTATGCAGTTACTCTTATGATTACTACTGTCTATACAGTAAGCCAAAGTTGTTGCATCAAAATGTTTGATGATACGATAACATGTTGATATAGTCGAAAGCAAAATATCGATATTTGATTTCTCATCTGTTACTGAAAATAGTTTTTGCAGAGTTCCTGTAGATTACACAATCGGATGCTGATAAAGTGGTACAAGTTATGAGAACGTCTGATTCTGGCCGTCGGATTCTGGCCATCTTGCGCCAAATGTGAATGTAAGTAAGAATACTGTACTCTCCGAAATTACCGAAATGAAGACAACAAATGAATTCATAACCCTTGGAACTAATAACATTGATGGTACATTAACTAGGAGCAATTCTCTTATAAAACTCATAGATGAGTGATCCTGGTATCTTTTCCTTGAATTTAGCTGTCTCGTCAATAAATTATCCCCAGCAATTTTTTACCTGAATCTAAATTCAAAACTCCCATTATCCGTTTTCAACACTTCGTTTTCTTATGAGAATTAAACCAGCTGAATCATCGAGAACAATGTAAAAGGATATTTGAAAGTTGAAAATCAGCAAGAACTCTCAGATGGAAGCACTTCTTTAATGAAATGGGAATAAACAAGAACAGATTAAAATTAAAATAAAATATTTACAAATCCGTTATCCTATTTCCTCTCCATTTCCACCATCTTCTTTAAGTTATTTTTGTAAATTTACTTAGTTAAATGCTTTCATCAAATACTTTAAAAAAATAAAAATCCATCTTTTCCGTAATCAATGATATCTCAGATGAGATCGGAGTGGGAAATAGGAAATCTTACAATGTATTATACAGGCTCATTTTATGGAATGATCGGGTTGTTCTAGTTAAAAACAATTGGAAATAATAACTGTAAGATTTCCTAGAACGATTAGGATATCGGCAAAGCATTTCAACTTCTTCCTAGCAAGTGATGATAAATGTGAGATTTACACAAAACCCTTCTCACTCCAACGATCTATAGGCACTATGGTCTGTTTACGATGGTTAATAAGCCTTTACCATATGATTAAGTAGCTACGTATTTAATTAATGGGATGTCTGGAAATGGAGTTTCCATAAGGTTTATTATAAATATCTTTGTTATGTAGAAGTCATTGGGCAAAAACATTTTTCAGCTGCTTTCCAGTAAAAACTAATGGTCAATCTGAAATATGCAATAAAATTTTATGAGGGAAAAGTATTTCAAGTTGATTTACAATGCACTAAAACGGAAAAATGTAATTTTTATATAAAAAATTCAGAAAAAATCGGAGATTTGATGAGGTATCACAAGTGTTATGTACTTAATCAATTTCTAAAAATTTTAGGATAAAGTGTTGATAAGTAGTTAGTGTTGCCAATAATTACGTTGCCACAGTGTAACAATCAAAACCTTTTACTTCACTTTCAAATTTGTCAAATGAATATTTTTGTCCTAAAAAGTCGATCAGGCGAAAATCTGTTAATTTAATTATTTTCTTGTTTTGTTATCAATTTTCCTTGCTTTACTCATTAACCTCATAATTGTAGCACATTAAAAGAAATCGTTTCGAAATGTCCCAGGACTTTTTACTCTGTTAAAATGTTCATCGCACAACTTGTTATAAGCACTAATATTTCGCCAATGAACGATAAATTTAGTGAGTCATATTTTCATATGAAATGATGGGATACGGTTATACGATAAAAAGAAATGGAAATAGCGAACAACAGGACAGGCATCTGATAAATAAACAAGTTTGCGTTTATTAAAGGAGTAAGAAATTAATATTTACAATAACTTGAATTTGATGAATCGTTCCCTGGCAGACCAAAATTACCCCAATCTATCCAGGAAAGTGAAAATTGGACCTTTACATATAAATAACATTATCCTGAAAGAAGTATAATATAACGAATGATGGATCACTTTTTTTTTGTCATCGGAAAAGCCATTTGCTTTTTCAGTTTAGTTTTTTGAAGATTCCTATTTTTTGCTTATTTTTGCGGCCGTTACCTTTGTGGTAATGACCAGTTGTTGAAGAATACAAAAAAACTTATCTCCAACGATTTCGAAATAACCAATGCGTCCTTTCTGAAGTCTTTCGAAATATTTAAGTATGTTTTCCAGAATTCCTTGGCCTTTTTACTTTAATGATAGAAGTAATTGGCCTATTATACTATCTTATCGATGGCAACACTTTTTTCTAGGACAAATTTTCAACCTTATTGGAATACAATCAATATTTATGAAGTTGTAGGTGAGTAGGTAAAATTCGAAAACATTTAGTAATTTGATTTCAACATACATATCATTCCTGATCATAGTTAATTTTTTTATGATTGTTGTACGGCTGACTGCAGTTATTGTCCAGTAAATAAGTTTAAATGGTTACAGCACGGAAAATAGTGAATCTTTAATTGGTAGTTATTCAGAAAAATTGTGTTATTTTGCTTTTGCTTTTAGTCTACTTCTGATCGTTTTGTAATTTGTTTGATGTTTTCAGAACTACAAATATTATCAGAAGTTTTAAAAAAGCGGATAGAATTGTAAAAGGGATCGAAATGTAATGCAATAATTATGTACCAATGATTTCAAGTATTCCGACTTATTCTTCCTTCCTGCAAATTACTCATACTGTGATCGCTTCAAAGATTGTGATTGTTTCATTACAAAGAACGGGAAATCGAAACTATGAAATTTTTACCCATTTCAAAATAATATGGAAGATATTTAAGTCTTGAGTCCTCGAAACTTTCCGTAAAGCGATGGTACTCATTCTATTCAACTTTGGTTGAAAATACAGCAGATTTTCTCAGATATTTAATCATATCTTTTTGTGACAGTAATACGACAGGTTACAAAAACTAAGTTATTTCTGCGCCGTATTTATCCATCACACCTGGATGAATCTATATAAGACATAACACAGTTCGAATTTGTCCAAAAATTCTTGCTTACAAAAGTTAAAAATAGACAGGAAGTTTAAAAGAAGTACGTAAAGGCCTTACTTATTTGCTAATATTAATTTTTACCTTACTTATTTGTTAATACTAATTTTTATGTGTTATTGAGATATAATTTTATTTATTGTACAAACGATCAAAGCATCATTGGAATACAAAGATGCGATATTATGAACAATTAATAAGTTAATTAGACAACTAAGAACTTCCCAGATTAAAAAATTCTTGATTATTATTACGTACTGTTAAATAAAGCGTCGAAGTTTGATAATCGATTTTTTGAATAGTTAGGAAATTGAGTTCTTTTACTTTTGGAGGATATATATACCGTCTCTGATTACAATTACTTTAGTAACTTACATAATAGTTGAGATATAGATAATTATTTTTTGGTTTTTAATAACCAAATTGAAATTTTTTGCAGACTGAAATTTTTCAGAAAATTTGGACAATTCCAAAGGATCGTATGCCAAGATCAAAGATACTGTATCTGAAGGTTGGAATATCTGATCCATGTAAACATTAAATCATTCAAATGCTAATTATACAATTAGCAGCACTGTTATGCAAATGACTCAGGACGATATTTGGTAGGGAAGGGATATTTGAGTTCTTTCAATTACTCAAAGGAATGAATTCTCCTTGCACGATACACCTGTCTTTTTTCCGTTCTTGTCACTTCTCATTCCCGCTCACTAATATCTCGCAAAGGAGTGAAGAAGTTCCAAAAGAATGCCAGTAACGACTGAAATTCATTTATCTTTGAAATACCACAAAATTATCCAAGATTTTATGTGACATGCGACTTATAGGTAAGGCTTATGGCCTATTGCATACTATAGAATGCCATAACACCCCATTCATCCATCCAACGTTCCGCTGCTTAGATATTCATTTCTTGTCATGATAGCAATTGTATGGATAATGGCACCCCAACGATATCGACTTTTAGCTAACGGTCGTCTCTCTCACAAAGGTAAATTTGGATTCAGGGATAATTACCTATAAAAACCAAAAAAATAATTATCTATATCTCAACTATTATGTAAATTACTAAAGTAATTGTAATCAGAGACAGTGTATATATTCTCCAAAAGTAAAAGAACTCAATTTTCTAACTATTCAAAAAATCCTTATCAAACTAAGGAAAGTGATTTGATAATGGAATATTTGCAAAACCGAATCGATGGTCAATCCTTAAATTTTACTACTGGTTATTTGTCCTTTCCAATAAGTTCACTTTAGTTTTAATTTGCGATAAATAGATGGTCAAGTGCAGGATAAGAAGTAACTGGGAGAGTATTAAGAAATAAAAGATAAAATAACTTTGTTGAGACCTCACCTATCAAGAGATTATCATCAACGATCATATTAATCAATCAGTGACGAGCAAATTAACTCCACCAACAAATTTCTTAGAAATCAAATGTCAATCGAGATTCGTAGTCTCCTCTGCGCGATAAAAATAAAACTACCTACTTTTAAAGCTTGAAACTAAAAGTTTGAATTTTTATACTTGAAGAAGCTCATGTTTGTAGACATTTCTGAAAAGAACTAGCAGTGTGTCTCTGTGTGTGTCTCCGTGTGTGTGTGTGTGTGTTTGTGTGTGTGTGTATGTGTGTGTGTGTGTGTGTGTCTGTGTCTGTGTGTGATTCAGTTCTGCACGTATATTTGACAAAGGAATGATACACTGCAGGAAATATAATAGAAAAAGGGGATCAAAAAAGAGGACAAGAGAAGTAATAATAATAGGATATCTTGTTGGTAATCAATGATAATTGATGAGAATATGATTAGAGATAGGTGCTGGAAGGTTTTGCATCCTGTTGAATTTCCTGAGAGAAGCAATGGGAGGATAAGTTTTGCAACTCACAAGTTCATTTACTCTTCTCTTCTAGCCCTTTTCCTTCACCATCATCAGATCAGATGGCACTGGTTGCAATTTGCCGATCGATAGAATGATCAACCGAAAAATAATCGACAGCACAAACCTTACCCGATCAACAGAGTTATCTGTTTGTTTGGGTCAATGAATATTTGTGTAAACAAAACTGTGTAAATGTCTACTACGTATTGGCTGTCTAACATTTTCATTCTCACTATGTATTTTAAAATACGAATTTACAACACTGTTAAAGAACAAAAAATTATGATACTATGATAAAGAGCTGAACGCTGAATCGTAAACAAGACACTAACCCGATGGAATACATAAAACTTCTATAAGTCGAGAAATACAGCTTAGGAACACCTTTTCGTCATTCTTTTGTTAGTTCAGTTGACCGCTGCTGACCATAACTTTTGATAAATGATCTCCGACAAGTCGTTATGAATGAATTAGAGATTTTTGATTCGGGATCAAATCTACTGTTAAGAAATAATGAATACACGCAATTATTGAGAAAAATAGCTTAGTTAAAAAAAAAAAAAATAGAACGTAATGAACTGATTACGTTCATTTCATAGGGTAATTTAATCTAACACCATTCTTGTTTATCAGCAATAATATAAGTTTCATCTTTGATGGTATCTTCATATCATCAAGGATGAAACCGCTAGATTTTAGTCAAGCTCATTATCTCACTAAATTTATGCCAAAATTTTTATCTCTTGATAACAATAAAATGTTAAACTCTATGTTGTGATTAATATCGATATACCGAGAGGAACAAAGATAACGGATGAAACTATTTTTATTACGTGTTAAGAATGTTGAGAAGAAACATAAATTAGTTTATCTTCTGAATGGTGAAGGTGCTATGTTCTTCAAGTATAAAAACATAAATGAATCAAGTTTAAACAATTTACTCGTAATTCAGGAACTTTGACAGACTATAGGTTTAAAAACATTTAAATTAAAAAAATCTTTAGGCATTGCCGCTAGCCTGACTTGTGGCAGCAAGAAAGAAGAGTGTAGAAGTCAGAAAAGTTTTATAAATATTCCTAGAAAATCCATGTGTTGTTTTGCTTTTTAAATTTTCAAATAAATTGAAAATAATTTATCCAATGAACAGTTGCAATGACGCAAAACATTTTTTTTTAGTAAAAAAGCTCAAGAAATTTAACGGAAGATTGCAACATTTTGGAAAAAATGTGCCTGAACAATAAATTCTAACAAAAACTTTAAAACAGATAAACTACTTTTCAGACTACTTTCAGACCAAGAATGTCAATATTATAAGCTAAACAAAATTACTGATTGACTGAGGTTTTTTTTGATGTCTAGGAATTTGTTGTTAAAGCATATTGAAGTTATAATATTGACATTCTTACCTGCAACGCACCGTCTATTTGCTGATTTCACAGCAAGATATGATATGATGTGATATTCTTCTGACATCGTTAACCATCCATACAAACAATATTTCAAGTGCATTTGCAAATTGAAATTGTTCAATGAGAAATGATTTGAGCATTATTTTAGAAAAATAGCTTGTCGATTAATATTCCACATGCTGTTGCTATTTGGTTAGAAGAAGCAATAAACGCCATCGGTAATTTTTAGGTGAAACAAATTGTCTTAAATGATTTCTTTCATAGTTTCTTTTTATAAACAATTTATGCTACAAGTGCTGTTTATTCGTTTTTCCACCGGAGAATGTGATGAGAATGCTGACTAAATAGTTCTGGTTATTCACTTTTTGTTATTTATCAAATAATCAGAATTTTTTCTTGTTTATTAATTTGAAATTTAATGTTGGCCCACCTTTTATAATTGTTATGAAAGTACGGTAAAATAGTCAAGTATAAAGTAGGAAATACACCTTGCACTGGTTATTTTGTTATTAATGTTCGATAAAATACTGAAATCACCTATGTAGGTAGACTTTGAGATGAAATCACAAAAAAAATGTTTGGCTTCTGATGACCGAATATAATGCGCTCAATCAAGAAATATGAATTGAGCGTAAAGATCATTTTGGGGAACTGCCTTCAAAGTATTTTTATTTCTTTTCAAAAGTCTATCATGCCAGAGAAAACAAACATTAAGGACAGATGTCCAGTGCAAGTGATAAATATAACTCTGATAATCACCACTTGGTGTAAATGTTTGTTTGTTAGTAAATAACTGTGCCATATTCTAAAACTTGCCATTTATTTATTTGGTCTTTGGGGTTTTTGAGTTTTCGAATTTACAACTTTGTCATTATTATTGTTCATATGAGGCGTTTAATTTCATTTCGTGATTGCAAGCAATTTACTCCACTTATTTTTGAAGTTATTTGTCACTTTACAAGTACTCCGGAAGCGGTGATTTGATTTCGTTGAAATTGTGCTTGCTAATTATGGCATAGTTATTTAACATAACAAAATGTCGTATCTATTGATTAGCGATAACAACATTTATTATATCAATTAAAATATATCGTGTTAATCGGAAATTGCGAAACAGTAGCAGAATCGTTAATGAAGCTAGCGTAATAAACGTTTTTTCTGAAATTATTATGCAATAAATTATAAAACCGAGATATTTCAGATGTTCAGGTAAACTTTATCGAATTACTTCATAACCTGTTTAAATTGAATCAAAGATGTACGTTGTAAAAAGTTATTTAAATCTAATGAAGATATGCGCAAGATATAACTCAAAACGTTGCTGCTTAGAAACAAAAAATTTAAGGTCGAACATCGCGAAAATATTTTGAATGTCAATCAAAAAATTTGGTATATTAAAGTATCATATTGTTTATCCATCTTAGTGTGTTATTCTAATCAAATATTCCAGGTATCTCGATGGGGCGAAATGAGAGTTTTTTTTTTTTTTATATTAATTATTCATGTATATTCGATGCAATTCAGTCGAAATTAATATTTATGTAAATTAATATTTAATAAAAATAAATAACTAAGAAATGGAAAAAATCTAAATTGATGGAATCAGCAAGGCGGTCAAGAATTTGGCCAGCGATAGATATGAGACAATATCAGCTGGTCATTCCGAATTATTCATTCTCTTGAGCATTTATTTGCTCATTCAATAACATCTTGATGGAGATTAAATACAACTTTCACAACTCATTGCACAAATATTTTATACTATTTTGGAAATTTTACCTCTGTAAGTTACAAAGATCAAAAAATTCAATAAAATTAAAAAAATTTTTTACAGCAAGCTATTTTATGAATAAATTAATCTCAATATATCACGAAGTAGCCGAGGTCGATGATGATAACGATTTTCCTATTCCGGAAACATCATCTGCAGCTACTACTTTTTGGCTTCCCGAATAGTTAGGAAGGAAAAACAGATTACTCAGAGAATTGATATTGCCTTGACTACCGTAACTACCATACACAGGCGGATAGCTGCTGTATGTGATCGGTAATGAATAACTTTCCGGACCTGAATGTCTGTTATTGACATAGGCGTTTGAAAATGAACCTAAATTAGGGTACACACTGGAAGCAGAAGGTAATGAGTAGGTCTTGTAGCTCATGTCCGGTAGCGAAGAACTGTATATGTCATTGCTTCCGGAAATACCGTAACTTATACCAGTATTCACTGATGCACTGGGAATTGTATTAAGTTCGCTACTTGTTAAACAGTTATTATTGTAACAATTCATATATCCACTTCCTGCGCCATAATTTCCGGTAGAACTATAAGCGTTATTCCAGGATATCCCGTTCTGAAAGATCAGGTATATGAAAAAGCGACAAAGTCTAAAGTTCCTTTCTTGACTGAATAATGATATGTTTATTTATGATATATTTGGGAACATGAAACTGTCGAAGATTAAAAGAACATACTGTAGAGGGAGAACCGTAGTTCAGATTATTACCAGTTTGGCTGTTGCCATAACCTGTACCGACACCGTAACCATTCGAACCATAGACATAGCCGTTGTTTGGAATAATGAAACTATTGCTTGTGGATAATGAATGCAAATTTTGGCTAGCCAAGTCTGAATTTGCGATACTCGACGAACCAACTGAAAATTTTTTTTTCTAATGGGACAAAGTTTTGTAAAACAATTTATTTTTTATGAATCTAGTTCAAATTTTGAATTTTATGCTGAAGTTAAAACTTTAGTTGTCTTAATACAGAGAAATTGCGATGAATACTTTCTTTTCTCTTACCAACCTTAAAGAAAGCAAGTAAATCAAATAAATCATCGTTGTCTGCATAAGGTCGTGTGAAATTCCAAAAAAAAAAGTGAATTGATACCATAATTGCCACCACCGAAACCGAATCCTCGCGAGATTGAACCACTATTATCCAGTGTACAGGTGGAACAGTAACCATTACCACCGTAACCTAATTGACCGTTACATTGTTTGGATGAGAAAAATATGATAGTAACTAGCAAATGGAACATATTTGATTGAGCGGCTAGAAAGTCGTTGGTTCAAAAACTTCTCGACAGTTTTGACAAAAAAATGCCGAAAATACCAATTGACTGTCGAGTTTCTGAACAATTTTTAGTTGTTGAATTTGAAACGACACATTTCCAACTCATTTTTTTCAGATATCACTTAGAGATATCATTTGTCAATTTGTCATTTCATTTGCAAAAGAAATGTTGGAGGAGCCAGAAGCCAGAAGCAGAATAAGAAAAAATTATATTAAAATCAATAGATTTTGAAATGATATAGAAATCCTGGATTAAAAATTGATTTTGGTTTGACTAGACATGGCAGTTATTATCACCCACTTTGTGTAAAATCACAATAGCTCGTTGATTTAATGAACAGAAGGGAATTTACTGCAACCAGAACTTGGGCCAATAAACCAGAGTAAATTTGAAAATGCCACGTTTCCTGAAATCTTAATTCCACGAACCTAATTGGGATCTAATTGGTATCATCAACGTTGATTTTTGTTTAATTTTATTAAACAAAAAGAATTTCAAATCATAAAATGGACTTGTCTGATTTAAATCTAATTTAAAGTGTTTTAAAGTGAAATATGAAATGAATTTGAATGGTGGTAGCGGTTGATGGAACTTTTATAAAGCGGCTAGCCAACTGCCTGTCCGTATCCAGTTTAAAAGAGAAGGTGGGATCTAACATTGATCTTTTCAATTATAATTTTTAAATCAATTTAACTCGTCTCTGCGATAAAAATCTGTTTTTCGGCATGCATACTTCTGCTTTTATCTATACAGAAATGTATTTGTACTGCTGCCACTCTAAGTAAACATCTGTATGCTTTACAAAATGACTATGTCTTCTTGGTCAATGTAATTGTACCGAAATGCAAATTTCAGTGCTGCTGCTGTCTTTACTATTACAAAGGGAACTTTATTTTTACTTTCTCCTTTTTACTCTCACGTGTGTCCTTTGTCAGAAATTTAATTGTCCATCTTGTGGTCCAAACTTTGGTCAGTACAAAATATTTTTCTCTTTTCTTGTTACTTACAATGCAAACATCAAAAGACTTTTGTTGAAATAATTTTATTTACAGAGGGAAAATTACATCGATGATATTCAACCGAGGAACTAGATTTTACACAAAGTGTCCCATTTTCAGCAAAAATGAAATGATTTGCAATCTTGAAAATTCCTGGCCATCTTGAGAATTTTTCTATTTTAGACAAATTTTTCCAACGTAAATTTGTAAATAAAGTTTTTTTTCTTTTTTTTGTAAATAAACCAGTGAAATTACAATTACCTTTTCACAGTTCCGAGAGATGCTAATCGATCAATATATTTTCGAGCTGTTTTGAAATGTCCATGCGGTTCTTCATCTAAATGATTGAATAAGTTTGTTCGGGACATCATTTTGAACATCGAAAGGTAGTAGTTATTACTGGCTTCTTTCATACTGATCCATTTCTTTGCTGAGTGTAATTTTATTTTCACAGTGAAAGAAATTCTATCAATATGGAGAAAATGCTTTTTGTAATAAAATTTTAAAATAAAAATACATTGTGATATAAAGTAAACGATGCATTATATGCGGCATCCAAAAATTGTATTTTACTGCACAGCTCATTCATAATAGGGAAATACTGAAATGAAGATGGAGAGCATTTTCCTAGAAATGTGACAAACTTCATTAACTAAAGTACTTGAGCAAAGCACTTCCCGTGAAGAGTGTCACCAACAAATGCGACTTAATAGTAGACAGTAACTGAGTAAAATGATAAACGAATGTATAATTGAAAGGTCGCAAAAAAAGTTGCGAGTTTGAAATTTGTGAGATATTAAATTTAATATAAGAAAGACAGATTTATTTCGTTGTTCTCAAAAACAATTGAAATTAATGTGAAAAGAGATTATTGTGCAAAATGTTACTCAAAAAGGTCACAAAAACCATTTTCTTTTCTGCTGTTCTGAAAGAATGACTCATTACTGATCATTATATTTTAAGACATCAAAAAAACGGGAATCAGCACCGCATCAGTTTTCAGTATGTTTAATCATTCAGCACTTCTTTCTCTCGTTTACTTTCATAATCTGGTTTAGACAGGAGATTCAAGTCCACTTCTCTTGTCCAGGAATAAAAATTTCCACTTCGTCAGCACTTCTATGTCTTATTCCTTATATGATAATTAAAAATCTTTCATTCAATAATAAACTAATTGTATTTTTTGACCTCAGAATTTTCGTCCTCATGTTTGCTCTGAATCTGAATTTTGAGCTCAAATCTTGAATGAGTATAAAACATTCAAATCGATAATGCAACGAGTCATGACCTAACAGATTAGCAGATGGAAAAGTGGTTGCCGACAATTTTGATTACAATGAAAATTTGGCACTTCTAACGAAGTTGTTCGAGAGTAACCCTTTTGGGATTAAAGTCGTCTACAGGAAGTACGAAGTGATGATGAGAAGTAGTTAAAATTTTGGAAAAAAATGTCACTGTTCAATTAAATTTAGAAGGTTATGCTATTAAGCGGAATAATTTTGCTTCCATTTTCTCCTCGTTTCTGATGTCTCGATTGCTGCCATCATACTTGCTGAAAAATCCGAGGTTTACTTGTTGTTCCAATAGCCTATTATAACTGCGCAATAAATGAAACATATGAATTAGTTGACTCAGTAAATGGTAAGTAGACGACAAAT